GGCCAGGCTTGTTGGCAGGAGAGCCCCAGGGAGAGTGGCAGAAGATAAATAAGGTCAGAGGGATTAAGGTGGAGTAGGAGTCCATCAAACAGGCTTTCGTTAGTTTTTGTCTTTTTCTTTGAATGAGATGGGAAATTGTTGTGTTTTGAGCAGCTGTGTGATGTGAGATCTGATTCATTTTTTTAAAAGGTCCTCCTAAAGCTCTGTTAAGAATAGCTGTCTTGTCCAGCCAGTGTGACTCAGTGGTTTAGCATTGGCCTGTGAACAGGAGGTCATGGTTCAGTTCCTGGTGAGGGCATATGCCCAGGTTGTGGGCTTGATCCCCAGTGTGGGGTATGCAGGAGGCAGCCCATTGGTAATTCTCTCTCATCATTGATGTTGCTATCTGTCTCTCCCTCTCTCTTCCTCTCTAAAATAACAAAGAAAAAAATCTCTATATATTTTTTAAAAGAATAGCTGTCTTTCCAAAACCTGTTTGGCTCAGTGGATAGAGCGTCAACCTATGGACTGAAAGGTCCCAGGTTCGATTCCGGTCAAGGGCATGTACCTTGGTTGCGGGCACATCCCCAGTGTGGGGTGTGCAGGAGGCAGATGATCAGTGTTTCTCTCTCATCGATGTTTCTAACTCTATCTCTCTCCATTTCTTTCTGTAAAAAAATCAATAAAATATATTTAAAAAAAAGAAAAAAAGAATAGCTGTCTTGTGCTGTTGCAAAATAATGGCAGCTGGGACTGACAGGAAACACAGGTGTCAGTGAGAAGTAAGCAGTTGGATTCTGGGTGCATCTTGAAAGTAGTGACAATATGATTTGCTTAGAGTGAGTGAAGGATGATGATACTGGGGATTTTTGCCTCTGTGGGAGTTGCCATTTATGAAGAAAGGGGAGACAGGGAGGCAGGGTTGTGGAAGCAACCCGTGTTAAGTTTGAAACTTTTAGAGTCCGCTGGAGACATGTAGGATTAAGCCCTTTGAAGTTGAGGGGGAAGATTGGGGCTGAAGATAGAAATCTGAGACACATTTAAGTCCTGAGATTGAGTGAAAGCACAGAGGACTGAGGGCTGAGTCAGCGAGGGAAGCAGGGCTTGTGAACCATGTGAGCCATGTAAACAGTGCATCTGTGCAGCCAAGGAGAATGTTGTCCTGGAGGAGGGAGGGAGACCTGTGCTCAAGGCTGTTGCTGTAAGGTCAGATCGAATGAGGGTCAAGGCCTGTTTGGAGGCTTTGGCAGCACTGAACATCGATGACCTGGACAAGCAGTTTTATTTTTTTTTTATTTTATTTTTTTAAAAAAATATATTTTATTGATTTTTTACAGAGAGGAAGGGAGAGATATAGAAAGCTAGAAACGTCAATGAGAGAGAAACATCGACCAGCTGCCTCTTGCACACCCCCTACTGGGGGTGTGCCTGCAGCCCAGGTACATGCCCTTGACCGGAATCGAACCTGGGACCTTTCAGTCTGCAGACCGACGCTCTACCACTGAGCCAAACCGGTTTCGGCTGGACAAGCAGTTTTAGAGGATGATGCCGGAAAACCTGGGAAGGAGGGCTCATGAAGAACTGAGAGAAGAGGACCTCAAAAAAAAGAAAGCTTTTTATCAGGCTCCAGGATACTGCAGTAAGATGTGAGAGACTCAAGGTTTTGATGAGATGGGAGAAATTACAGCATTTTTGTCATGTTAATGAGAACTTGATGAAGTGGGAGAGGGTGCTTGCTGGAGCCTGGCTTTTGGGAAGGCCACAGAGGATGGGCCGAGTGGAGAGTCCATAGGCTCTTGAGAAGAGGGAGAGCAGAGTTGGGATAGTGGGATCAGGTGGACATTTTCTCCTGTCTTCCCAGTGAAATAGGAAGGCATTGTCGGTGAAAATGAGGGTGAGTAGGGGCTAGGGAGTGTGGGGAGAGAGGAGAAGGTGTTGAATAATTTGCGGTTAAGTATGATAAGAATGTGAGTGGATTAACAACCTGGAATGGTTTAGCTGAAGAGAGTGATCTGAAGGAAACAGCAATTGTGTTCTTTTTAGAGGAGGCAGAGTAGACAGTGCTGTGTTGTGCTAGAGTTTTTGCCCCCGTCTTGTTCTCCAGCAAAAGTGGCAATGCCAGAACGGGTCAAGGAAGTGAGTCTACTGGTGGGGCATGAAGTCAGAGTTGGGAAGGGAGGAAGTGAGGGCCTGTTGGTAGTGAGGGTTGTCAGCAGTGATGCATGTAACTGTAGTTCATTCCTGTTCACTTCTATGTCCTGTTTTAGACTGAATACATCTCATTTTATTTTGTCCTGTCATTGGAAGGTAGGATTGTTTTCAGCAAAGAAACAATGATATTATGAACAAGTGCAAAACATTTCTCTAGAGTATAGACCTTGCAGGGTAGTGGGACCTGTACATCTTTAACTTTAGTAGCTGGTGCAAATTGTTTTCCAAAATGGTCGCCCAGTTTACCTTCCTACCAGCACTGTTCTATATCCTTGCTAACCCTTGGTGTTGTCAGACTTTCTTTATTTGCCAGTTTGTTGGGTGTGAACTTAAATGCCATCTTTAAAAAATAATGTCATTTTCAAAAAATAACAGCTTTATTTATATAATTCACATACCATAGAGTTCACCCATTTAAAGTATTCTAAAAATTTAGTGTGTTTTAGTATATTCACAGAATTGTGTAACCCTCATCACAATCTTATTTTAGAATATTGTCATCACCCAAAAAGAAACCTTGTACCCAATAGTAATTTCTGTCTAATCTTTAGACAACTATTAATAAACTTTCTATTTCTATAGATTTGCCTATTCTAGACATTTCAAATTAATGGAATCATATTACATATATAAATGGAATCATACAATATGTGGTTTTTTGTGTCTGGCTCCTTTCACTTAGCAAAATGTTTTCAAGGTTCATCCATGTTGTAGTGTCTGTCGCTATCAGTACTTAATTGCTTTTCATTACTGAATGATACTCCATTATATGGCTATACCACATGTTATTTGTCCATTCATTAGTTGATAAACATTTGGGTTTCCACTTTTTTACTGTTATTAATATTATGAGCATTTGTGTACAAGTTTTTGGGTGGACATATGTTTTTATTTCTCTTGTATACTTAGGAGTGGAATTATTGCATAATGTGGTTACTATGGGTTTTGAAGAACTACCTGATTTACAAAGTGGCTAAACCATATTATATTCTTACCAACACTACATAGGGTTCCACTTTCTCCATGTTCTTGCTAACATTTACTATTTTCCATTAAAAAAATTGTAGCCATTTTAGGAGTGTGACCTGTGGTATCTCACTGGTTTTGATTTGCCTTCCCCTAATAATAATGCTATTGAGCATCTTTTGATGTGATTATTGGCTTTTGTATATCTTTAGAGGAAAGTATTTAAAAACATTACCCATTTTGTTAATTTGTCTTTGCATGGTTTTAATGTTTTCTCTGGTTACTAGTGAAGTGAAGTATCTTTTGGCTTCTTGGATTTCCACTTTTGTGAAATGCCTGTTTGTGTTTTTATTTAGTTTGATTTTTCTTATTTGTAGGAATTAACATATTCTGTTTAATCTTTTATTAATTATCTGTGTGACAAATAATTTCTTCAGTTTGTGAATTGTCTTTTTAATGTATTTATGGAATCTTTAAAAAGTTGCTATTGAAAGCATGGAATAAAAGGACAAAAAAGGATCTCAGTGTTATAATCTTTCCTTCTAGTCTTCATGCTATATAAGTAAAAGAGAAAATATATTTTTGGTTTATAGGTAGTTGTCTTTTAAAAAGTTTTATGGTTTCTCTTATAAGTTTTATACATCTTTTGTTAGATTTATTCTTTAGGTATGTTATAGGTGGAGGTTTTTTCTATTGTAAATAAAATTTTTAAGTTGTTTTCTATTTATTGTTAAATGGAAATACAGCTGACGTTATAGTATGTATCTTACCAAACCCTGGTTCAGGAATTCTGCAGTGAGAACCTTTGACAGATAGGAATGACTTGAATGGTCTTATCCCTCATCAGAACTTTGGTCATCTTTTGGTCAAAATTGGCCTTTGAGATTGTCTAATTATGGCAGCTTTAGAATATGTAGTGAACTCTGTGTTTCTGTTGTAACTAATAAGGACATCTTTAACTCAAAGAAAACAAAGTTCGTTTTGAGGAGAAGAGGCAGGAACAGTGCAGACGTAGCATTGTGGAGTCATTGTTTTAAGTTTGTCAAGTGGTTTTCCTAGTAACTGAGAATTGGTTTCTCTTGTTCCTCAAGAATTGGGTTCCAGGTTTTTAGTTTCTTTATTAAGAATTACAAAGATTTTGCCATTTTATGACTTCCAAAGTTTCAGCTGTGCAAGTGCTGTTAAATGCTAAAAGTGCTGGTTGGTGGTGGTTGTTGATGTATTTAATTCTTTAGTATTCTAAGAGTAGTAGATACGTAGGTCTCAGTACTTGTCATTGTTGCTGAAGATATTTGTTCTGTGTAAGAATGTGTTCATCACCCTTAAGAAAGGGTTTACTTCCTTTCCCTGAAGTAATTCTTTTTTTTTTTTTTTTTAATATATTTTATTGATTTTTTACAGAGAGGAAGAGAGAGGGATAGAGTTAGAAACATCGATGAGAGAGAATCATCGATCAGCTGCCTCTTGCACACCCCCTCAACCAAGGTACATGCCCTTGACCGGAATTGAACCCGGGACCTTTCAGTCCGCAGTCCGAAGCTCTATCCACTGAGCCAAACAGGTTTTGGCCCCTGAAGTAATTCTTAAAGTGTGGATAGGATGATTTTGCAGTTAAAAATCCCAAGATTAACATTGTTTCAGCATTTCAAATCAGATTATTGTTATCAATAAAAACTTTTTTCTGAGAAGGAAAAAATCCTGCTTATTTAGGAAATATTTATAGGTTCAATGTGAAACTTACTTTACTTATGACATTTTAGACTGTTAAACTGAACTGAAAGGAAAAATAAATGTGAAGTTGAAATTTTATTTAAAATACTCTCTGCATTTTGTTTTAGACCAGCATGTTTTGGAAATTTGATCTTCACTCATCATCCCACATAGACACGCTTCTAGAAAGAGAAGATGTAACACTGAAGGAGTTAATGGATGAGGAAGATGTTTTACAGGAATGTAAAGCTCAGAACCGCAAACTTATAGAGTTTCTGTTAAAAGCAGAATGTCTCGAAGATTTAGTCTCGTTCATTATAGAAGAACCACCTCAAGACGTGGATGAAAAGATCAGATACAAGTAAGAAATTCAGTGTTCTCTTTAGGGTGGGACTGAAGATATGGGGGGTAGAATATTCATTCTCGTCCAGCAATGTCCTTCAGCTGCTGCAGACCATTTACAGTGTTTAGGTGGTCGGGAGTGACGGGCTAGTAGAGGACCTAATCTGTTCTAGAACTAAGTCCAGTGAAATGATGGGATTTTTAAAAAAAATATATTTTTATTGATTTTTTACAGAAAGGAAGAGAGAGGGATAGAAAGCTAGAAACATCAATGAGAGAGAAACACCAATCAGCTGCCTCCTGCACTCTCCCCACTGGGGATGTGCCCGCAACCAAGGTACATGCCCTTGACCGGAATCGAACCTGGGACTCTTCAGTCTGCAGGCCGATGCTCTAACCACTGAGCCAAACTGGTTTTGGCAAAATGATGGGATTTTTAAAAACAAGTGTTCTGTATTTCATTCAAAGGGGCAAAGTGTTCTGTAAGTAATGATGAAGTGTCTTAAAATAGGAAGATAGAGGTTGTGTGACCATCTAAGATCACACAATGAATCCACGCTGGAGCTTGGGTTCTGAAGAACCTTGCTGATAAAATAAATTCTGACCTTTTGTTAACTGAAAGTAAGGGTGTGTGTCTTGGTGAATGTTAGTGTCACTAAATTTAAGCATGTAACACCTTGAATAACTATAGTGGACTTACCTACTCAGTAGTTTCACCTGCTTACAAGGAGAATGTTAGTACAGTGGGACCCTTTGTCACTGTCTATGAAACTGTATACAGACCCCTGGAATATTTCATATGTATTTGAAGTATTGGGTTTCAGTTATTTTTCCATCTCCAACTATTGAAATATTTGGTTCACCTCCCACCCTTCCCCCAAGAAAATAATACAAATTTAGGAACGAAAAATTATTATGTGCTCAATAAACTTCATGAACTAGGAAGAATTATGGTGGCTTATTTATTTTATCCTCCATCTCAGAATAAATATATATATTTATTTTTTTTAAGAGAGAGAGGGGAACGTCAATGTGAGAGAGAAATATCAATCAGTTGCCTGCTGTACACACCCCAATCAGGCATTGAACCAGAAATCTAGATGTGTGCCCTGACCGGGAATCGAACCGATGTATTAGATGACGCTCTAGTCAATTGAGCCACCCGGCCAGGGCAGAAAAATTATATTTTTTAGTTGGTTATCTTTTGTCCTTTCTTTTTAGATAACTTTTCATTTCTTCGTGGTGAGAATTTTACTGTCAGGGAAATAATAATTATTAATGTTTTTAGTCATGTTCTCTGTCAACCATGAAGATTGACAACTAGCATTCAGTGACAGCCTCCTCTCGGAGATCAGTGTCTAAAAAAAGGAAAGGAAAGAAATTTGGTGTCAGAAATACTAGAATATTCTCATTCTCAAGAGATAGACACTGTGCTACTTTGGAATTCCTGCCACATTGGGGTGCTGCTTGTTTGGGGCTTATGCTGGTAGGAGACACTGTGGTGTGGGCTTCAGATCAGACCCTCCTGGAGGGGTGTGGCCCTCCCCTCTCAACAAGCTCTGAGACCTTGAGGAGGGGGCTTGCCCTTCCGGGTTCTGATTCTTTCTGTCCTGAAGCTAATATTCTTTAACTGGGGAAGTGGAGGCACGCCTATGGAAAGTGCTTATTTTGCCAAAAAGTAGTTGTGGCTTTTGTTATGCTGTGCCAGCAGTTTGGTGGGGGTTTTTATTTGCGTTTTTCTGGTGGTGTTTTTTGGGCAAAAGGAGGTGTGCCTCCCCAGGACACAGCCTTCTGGATGGCACCATTTCAAGAGAGCACAATCTGGGCAGAGCCGTTCTCTGCTGTGCTTCTGGCCTAGGCAGTGCCATCAGCTGTGGATGTTACATTACAGCTGGATGACTCAGGCAACAGGGTTAGTATAGAGGGGTTTTTCCAGTGGGATCTGAAAGCTTTTCTGAGTTAGGTTTGACAGTAGTCATCTAAGGAAATTGAGACTGGTGTTTTATAGTTTCTGGATGATGGAGTGATTACTGTATATTATAAACTCATCACTATTCTAACTTAGTTCGGTGATCATATACAACGTATTAAAAGGATTGTCATTTTACACTAACCTTTTTAATTCTAATGACAGATACCTAATTTTAAATAATTTAGCATAAATTTGAACTAACAGAACTTTAAAAATAGGCCCTTAGTAGAAGTATAAATCCCAAAACTAAAATGCTGTTTTAGTCAAAGTTCCCACAGAGGGACTGGACTGACTGCAGACTTGTAGAGGCAAGAGGAAACCCTGGAGGGCTGCTGCCCTGAGAGTCAGGGCAGAGGAGCTTTGGGATGAAGGGCGGGACAGGGACAGGACTGCTGCCTCCTGGCCAGGAGGTGGTTGGTGTTGGCATCGTGGAGCCCTGGGCCCTGATGAATTGGAGACAAACCAGGGCCAGCTTTTCAGGCAGTTGCCTAGAAAGGGGGCAGCGGAGGAAAGTGGGAGCTACGGCAGATGTGGAGTCAGGAGAGGGTGGCGTTGGCTTTTTCCCTAGATCAGTGGTTGGCAAACTCACTGGTCAACAGAGCCAAATATCAACAGGACGATTGAAATTTCTTTTGAGAGCCACATTTTTAAACTTAAACTTCTTCTAATGCCACCTCTTCAAAATAGACTCACCCAGGCCGTGATTTTTGTGGAAGAGCCACACTCAAGGGGCAGTTTGCCGAAAATGGCCCTAGATGGAAGAAATAATGGTGCAATTCAGAGGGAAATGATGGTACAGTGTAGACTGAGGAGGAATGGAGATTGAGTGATGTGCTGTACTTGAGTGGGTAGACGAGGATGGGATCAAGAGGACAAGTGACTAGTAGCTTTAGGAGCAAGGCTGGCTCCCAGGTCAGGGTGCAGTCAACCAGGGTTCTCTTCTGGTTGCTTTTATGTTCTCAGTGCCAAGGAAGGAATCAAAGACAGTGTATGTGTGGGGTAGGAGCAGAGGCTTTGCCCAGGGGTAAGGTAGAGGGTTTATTGTTTATTTTGTTTTTACTGATCTGAGAGAGAGAGAGAGAAAGAGAAAGAAATAGAGAGAAACATGAATGATGAGAGAATCATTGATTGTCTGCCTCTGACACGCCCCCTACTGGGGACTGAGCCCCAAACCCCAGCATGTGCCCGGAACTGGGAATTGAACCGTGACCTCCTGGTTCATGAGTCATTCATTGCTTAACCACTTTGGGTGTTTTTGAACTTGTTTAATGTTGAGGGAGAGAGGGTGTAGCCTCAGCCTGTTCAGAACCATAACTTTGAGCCTTGTCTGTGGAGCCCAGGCCCCACATGTGCTCTTTTTAAGCTAGATCCCACTTCCACACTTCCACACTTACCTGTGGGGAAAATGGATGCAAAATTTAAAAGATGATCTCTGTGTCAGAATTTGGAGAGTCTGCCTATACATTTGGTTTGCAACTGGGGTTGAGGTCTACTGCCTTTTACCAATCCTTTATTTGCCAGAAACTTTCAAATCTCGGCAGTTGAGACAATGTGCCCCCAAGCTCAATAGCAGCATTTCAGCTCTTCTATAAAGTAGAAAATAAGAAGGAATAAAAACAGCTAACACTCATTTACTCTAAGCCTTTTTTCTCCTCAGTATTTTGTATATATTATTCTCCCCAGTGGAGTAAGGACTATTATCTTAACATTACAGATTTGGAAACTGAGGCCCAGAGACGTTAAGTAACTTGCCCATGATACAGATTACAAGTGGTGGAGACAGGTTCCTAACCTCAATGATGTGACTCTAGAAGTCACGCCTGTAATCACTAGATAATGATAATGTCTGTAATCACAGCAAAATGGCGACTTTATGTTACGGCATCTATATGCCAACATGCAAGGAAGGTTTTCATTTGATTGAGCCATAAGCTTCCAAAGTGGCTCTTTGATAATGTGATTTTTGTGCCCATGCACCTTCCAGTTCTATTGTCTCTTCAGGTTGTTTTTTTTTCCCCTCTCTCCTTGCAAAAGTTCATTTGGGGACATTTTCCTATTGCTCAGTCTTCTGACCTCATGCCAGACCCCCTCAGGTGCTCAGCTTTCTGGTCTGATGCCAGTGGCCTCTCCAGCCAGGGGCTTCCAAACAGGCAGCCACTTGCTTATATATTCTAGCCTCCAGTCCTCACCTCTCTTGTCATACAGCTGCTTCTGGCTGTTCTGTCACTTCCCTGTCCTGGTCAGCATTTGAGCTTCCTATTCCTGATGACTAGATGGTTCTGGATCCTGGCTGCTTGACAGGGAGGAATAAAGAACAGAGAAGTAAACAGTGGGTTGGGGAGAGTACAGTCTTCACAAACCTGGCAGTTTCGAATGCTACTGAAAGCACGAGAAATTGTGGTGAGAGAACTGAGTGCAGGAAATGGATCTACTGCCTGTTTTTCAGACAGAGAGGAAGAGAGAGAGTGAGAGGGCTCATTGGTGCTCAGAGATAAGCTAGCTTGAGGGGTACAGGTACTTTTAGTGCTGGAGTCTGTAGAAGAGATCTGTGTTCCACAGCATTGGAATCTGATGGTGGATTGATCCCCAGAGACCTTGGAAGACTGGTGTGGAAAGTGTGTTTTATTGTTGTTGGTATTTTTTTTAATTAAATATATTTTTATTGATCTCAGAGAGGAAGGGACAGAAAGAGAAGAGAAATATCCATAATGAGAGGGAATCATTGGTCAGCTGCCTCTTGCATACCCCCAACTAAGGATCAAGCCCCAACCTGAGCATGTGCCCTTGATTGGAATTGAACCCGAGACCTTTATGTCCGCAGGCCTATGCTTTATCCATTGAGTCAAATTGGCTAGGCCAAGAGTGCGATTTTTTTATATATTCTTCCCACCTAGCTCACTCAATCAGATGCCCTGTTCTCTAGTATATTAGAATATTTATTCTCTTAAGATGTAATATAGATTGAACATTTGAGAAGCCCCCAAAACAACTTTCTGTACCATTTGTAACCCATATGAAATTAGAAGTGGCCAGTCTAGGGACCTAAATTTGTCTTGAGTACAGTACAATGTGCTGTGTACAGTTTGCTGGAAACCAGTGTTCCTCTTGGTTGTTTTATAAGCTGTGCCAGAGTAGCCACTGATGACTGCAGCTCAAGCCTTTTTACCTGTCCCTGCAGTATAACTCCTTCCCCCTTTTGACTCCTCTGAGTTCTAGGTATGTTCTAGTTTTTTTTTTTTTTTTTTTTTTTTTTTTTTTGAAATGTATTTCTATTAAAGCTTGGTTTAGGAACAGTATTTTAGACATAGCAAATTCACTTTAGAGGTTGGATAGAATAGGTTGAGATGATTTTGTAATTCTCAGAAGGTAATTTTTCCCCCACAAAATTTTAGGAAGCCTTTCTGATTTGTATGTTACTTTGTGCAATTAAACTGTTAATGTAGATGATGATACAAGTATCCTATTCTTCTAGGTATCCAAATATATCTTGTGAGTTGCTCACTTCTGATGTTTCCCAGATCAATGATAGACTGGGAGAAGATGAATCCTTGCTAACGAAATTATATAGCTTCCTCCTAAACGATTCCCCCTTGAACCCACTACTTGCCAGTTTCTTCAGCAAGGTGCTAAGTATTCTTATCAGCAGAAAACCAGAACAGGTAAATATTGTTTTCCAAAAGGTAAGTATTAGGGCTGATCATCACTCTGAGATGATCCCCAGTAACTTTGTTGCTTCAGTGTTCTGAGTGTGCTCTAAGTCCAGCTTTTATAAAAGAATATATTTTATACCCTAAGCATTCTAAATGTTTGCTGACTTAACATTGATATACACATTAATATGTTCTAACTTTACATTCTTTTCTAAGTGCCTCACATCTCGGTTTTTTAGTAGACTGTGGTTTCCTTTTTTTGATAAGTAGCTAGAAGCATGAGAATTCTAGTATCTGTGACAATGGCATGGTGGTGTGTACTGAGCAGTTGAGTGTGTGAGTGGAGTCCTAGTGACTGTGGTAAAGTAATAATTTTTTTCCCCTTGGTGATTACAAATGAAGCTTAAATAAAAAAAGCTTTCTTATAAATGGTTTATACAAATAGTGGTAGTTTCTATTTTGATTCTACTAAAAAAAAAAGTTTCTCTTGAGACATCTGGGCATAGACTGTCATGTACCTATTATGTAGCTTTGCTGTAGTGATTGGCAGAAATTCATGCCTTATTGTTATGGCAGAACTCCCCCACCTTCTCCTCCTCCTCCTTTTTCTTCTTGTTCTCCTCCCACTCCACTTGGTTTGCTTTTTAAATAATTCAGATGTCCTTGGGAAATTTATCTTCCAAGTATCAGTTGTATATGTAGTAGTTCTCAAAAGTGTGATCCCAGGACCAGCAGCATGAATACCTGTTGAGACTTCATTAGAAATGCAAGTTTTTGAGCCCCATTCCAAACCTACTGACTCAGACTCTCTGGGAGTTGGGCTCAGCCATCTGAGATTTTAACAAGTCTTCCAGATCAGTGGTCGCCAACTTCTCAGGCCTCACAGACCACTGCTTGGCAATTGCCGTTCCAGATGACTGATGCATGTTACAGTTTGAGAATCACTGCTCTAATCAGTATTGGTGTGAAAAGCGTCTGTTGACCATTGATTATGATCCACTTAGAGAAAAAGGCAGCCAAGGAGTATCGAGCCTCAGATGCCCAAGTATAAACTGTCAGTCCTGCCTGAGTGCAGCGAGCAGAGGTGTGATGCAGGTGGTCAGACCTGTCGGGCCAGGCATCCTTCATGGGGGAAAGCAGGCTCCAGGATCCGCCTTGCTATCTGCACATGTGGAGGGACTGGAGCTATTTTAGGCCTACTGTGTCTATCCTATGCCAGGGTGAAGTGGATACATGTTTTATTTTAGAGAGGAGATCATTCTTTCATGTCTTAACTGAGTAGGATTACCATCCTAAATGTATTGGAATTGAGGTTCTTTTTTCTTAGAGAATCCTCCCCAAATCATGATTGCTCTGATATATTGTCTTTCTGTCTTCTGCCTTCTGATGAGAAATAATAGGACTGCTGGCTGTTACAGGAAAGTTCAAGTCAAAATTACTAGTCCCAGATGGTTGTAGTGACTATTGAAACAGGTCCTGGTTTTCAGTGTCATGAGTGAGAATGCACTTGAGTATTTGTGAGCTTTCTGAGTATTTATGTTGGTCTTCAAGGTCAGATATAGCATCTGTGTAAAGATGATGGTACGTGCCAAATAAATGGCGAGAAAAGGACCCAGTCACTGCTGCTCATTGTACATCTTGGTTCAGGGCTCCTTGAATGAAAACAAGTGGATTCTATAGTCCTTGGCCTTCTAGCTCCAGGAAAAGGGTCAAACCGGCACCTCTTTAACCTTTTGGGAATTATGAGTGTAAATAAAGATTTCCCATAACATGATGAATTAGCAAGGATATATGCAGCTGTTAAGTAATGAAAAAAAAAATCAGACTCAACCTGGCTTAACTGATAGACATTTATTAGCTCGTTGAGCATAAAGTTCAGTTGTAGAGCACGTTCATTGTTGGATGACTTAGTACATCAACAGTGTCATCCTCTGTATAGGAGATATTGCTGTCTGGCTGTGCCTTTGGGTTCCAGATCTAGTGCTTTTTCCTCCTCCCTCAACTGTGTTTTTAATACTATTGTGTGACTCAATTGTGAGTGGATTCAGTGTGTATGACTTCTTGAAGGTTTATTACAACATTTAACATCATTGTTTAGAAAAGCCACATGGGATTGTCAATCCTGCACTTACACCTGGTTCTGTGTGTGAAGCAGGGTTAGTTGGCTATTAGACTTCTCGTGGGATAATAGCAGGATCATGGCTTTGGGGACATATAAATCTAAGTTTAAATTTCGGGACAGCCACTTGAGCCTTGGTTTCTGCAAAATGAGTTAAGCATCCCCGCCACTGGGGCTTTTGAGAGATTTCAGTGAGACTGTTAGAGCAGCTGCCATGCTGGGCTGCTGCTTCTGGGACTTGTGAATAGATGATTCCTGCACACAGACAGAAACCGGAAGTACACAAGGGAGTATGGGACAAAACAGTCTCCTTCTTCTTCCTGTACAGAAAAGACCCAGGTGGCAGGGATGTAACTTTATTTCTGTCGTCATGGTCTCGGTATACTGTCAGCCTCTGCCACAGTCACTCTCCTTGTGTGAATCTGATCAGGTGAATTGCTAAAATAAAATCCACGTGATGTTTCTATAGCAGGTGAGTTAGTCACTTTGACTGATAGAAAAATCTTAATGTTTTGAATTTTTTTCTCTCACCGGCTAGAGTATAATTAGGATTTTTAAATATGTATCTGCAATTTAGCGCACAGTCTAATAATAGACTTGCTTTATGTTCATAAACTGAAATGGTATATCTTTTTCTGAATTAATAATTAATGAAAGTGAACAGAAATAAAAGATTCTGTGATGGTGTATTTGTATTAAGGAATATGTGATAATTTGGGAGTTTTTTTTCCCCCAAAGGGTTTTTGAATAGCATAATAATTAACAGGCTTCCCAACTTAACATCTTGTTATGAATTCAACATTTGCTGTTCCTCCACTCAACAGTGGTGATAGGATTTTGGTGGGGGCAGGACTGGCAGCGTTCTAAAATTTCTAGTTCTCAGGTTACATGTCTTTCAGTTTTGGTTTGTTCTCCTCTAGATTGTGGATTTCTTAAAGAAGAAACGTGATTTTGTAGACCTTATTATAAAGCACATAGGAACGTCAGCTATCATGGACTTGTTGCTCAGGCTCCTGACATGCATCGAGCCTCCACAGCCCAGGCAAGATGTGCTGAATGTGAGTAGATTTATGACTGTCCTTGATCGGGGTGAGGAGAGGCACACATGAACCCACAGGCTGTTGTCCGCTGGGGTGGGATTCCACGGTTTGGTAGAAGGTTATCTGGGAAATTAGGGTGTAGGGGACAGGGTTGGGCAGAAGGTTGTTCTGAGATAGGAAGAGATTCAGATGTTGCAGGATTAAGGTTTCAGTTGTGCACACCCCTGGGTTTCTGGGATGCTTCCTTGTGGGGCCTTCTGTTTCATTTGCTGGCTTGTCAGGGGGGTAAGGAGTTAGAATGGGCTGAGGATTTGGCTAGGTAGTGAAAGCAGAAGTGTGACTGTTAATGAGCTGTATCTCATTTGAGATGCTTTGAGGCTTCTTTCTTGAGAAGATGGTCACATCACAGAGTTACCTCTACAAGTCAAAAAGGAGAGGTGTCTATTTCCGGGGAATGAGGCTTCAGAAGTAAACTTTCTAAGAGCATGGGATAAGGAGAATGGAGCTTATTTCCAGAAGGGCACATATTTAAAAATTTGGGGAGATTATTTTAGGATACATGTGCCTCTTGAGCAGGATTTGGGTGGAAAGAAGGAGGTGTGAGTAACTTGAAGTTTCCCATAGACCTTTGTCTTTGCCTTCTTATCTTCTGTCTCTCCTTGTTCTCTTCTTGCCTTCTTCCAGAACCACTTCCTAGTTCATTCCATCTTAAATACTCAACCTCAAATCTTAGAGCTTCTTTCTCTCTCTGGAAATGAGTTTTATTGGGAATGCTAACTTTAATTGAAGAAGGAGAGACAGGAGCATTTGTCAGGTGATGCCCCAGGAAAGGGGATGCTCTGCAGAAGTGATGTGTTGGTGTGAGTGGGAGGATCTGGGCGTGGGCGTGGGCTGGGTAAGTAGAACAAGGTAGAGGTCTACTGAGAACCGTGCTCACGTGAGGAAGCCAGTTGGTGGACCTAGGGAATGTCTTTGGGCCCTGCCCATGGAAGGGCCCTGAGTTGGAACACTGGTTTCTTTTAGGTATGTTTTTGTACATGTGAAAAAAGGTTGAAGATTCAGGGAAGACTGTTGAGGACAAGGGGGATGGTCACCTTTATATTTGGATTATTAGGAATTAGAGGGATACAGTGATAGGTAGTTAGTAAAGGCATAAGTTAGGGGAGGGGTAGCTAAAAACTCCAAATGATTTTATTTGGGGGCCCACTATGGGGGATCAGTCAAAAAGTATGCGTGATATGTAGCTACTTGTTAATAGATATGAAGGCAGAAGGGTGAGGGACTGACCTCCTCTGTTTTAGGAGACACTATAGTTACTCATGGTATGGTCCCAAACATCACCTGAGAGCTTGTTAGAACCCAGAAACCCTGCTGAGTCGGCTCTGCACTTAACAAGACTCTGGGAGGGTGATTCCTGTGCACACCGTAAAACAGATTTTAAACTGCCACGTTGGGCCTCTACCTTTGTTCCCCAATAGCTGTTGTTCACATTTCCTTTGGCATGTCTCCTTAAGAAGCTGGAGACAGTATGGACAGTATTAGGGTTTCTATACCTTCAGTAAATTTAGCTATCCCCCCATCTCCTTTAACCTTTTTTGGGGAGGCGTCCTTTCTAGAGGTTGAGCATCTCATTTATTATGTTGTTTCTGTTCCTTGAGGAGCTGATATTACACAGACTGAGTTTTTACTTATTCTTATGTTCATCTCATGTTTTCATTTACAGCAGTATTTCATGCGTGGCTGAAGAAGAGATTGTATAGCCACAATAATAGCTCTTTGCTAACATGTGACAGGGTAGATAAACTGCTTCTGTAGTGCTGCCCCCACCTCTGCCCCTCTCCCCCGCCCCCATGTTTCCTGTGATTGTTTTGGTTTCTGAATTTAAAAGTTCATAATGTGTTTTAAGCCAAAAGTTCATAATGTGTTTTAAGCAATACTAAATATTGCTTTTCTCAGTCTTTCTGAAGCTCTTCTAACTCTTTTATAGAAAATGTATGAATTCCATCCCCCAACCTCCAATAACCGAAGTTCAGACCTATTAGTACTCAGTGAATTATCCCATGGCTAGGAAGCTGACATAAAGAATTTTCATTATGTGGGCATTGTAAGTTGGGGAGTAGTTGGAACTGTTGGCTACTGTTAAAATGATATATTCACTGGCGTTTTCCTTGGGGGACTTTTAATTTCCTGTAGTGTTCAAAGTCCAGAGAAACCTGTAACATTCTACTTAAAATGTGATGGATATTTCCAAGTATGTTAACCTTCATTGGGGCTTGAACAAGAGCCACGCATTGCTATGATCACTTCTACAATGTGTTTTACAGTGGTTAAATGAGGAGAAAATTATCCAGAGGCTTGTGGAAATAGTTCATCCATCGCAAGAAGAAGATGTAAGTTTCCTTGTCTGACTGTAAACTGATATTTTAAATAAAAAGAACCATGTTTATTCTGGCATAGAGCATAATTGCATGAAATGTGAAATGGAGGCCAGGTAGAACAGTGATAACCTAGCATTCTTAAAGTTGCCAATTTTCTAAACATTAAAGGCTTTAAAAATACTATGCTTAATGTTTTTTGCTGATACCCAGAAGTGTGGAAAGCAGCAAGGTCTGGCTGTAGCATTCTCCTTTCCAGCGCCCAGATTTCATGCTGAATCTGCTTGCCTTTGTTACAGACCTCTGTCCATGCTTGCACATGACATGGCCACATCTGCATTTGTATCAGGGCCTTGGTCACTGTTGACTCCGTTGAACCCCTAGAGTGATGGGATCTTGGTGCTTGTCCTTCTTGGCCCGAACTTTATGCTCTGGCAGGTTTGGCTTGGTCCTGGGTGCTGAAGATGGACTGGCATTAGGATTGACACTGCTTTGCAGTTGGAAGATTAAGCTCTGCTGAGGGGCAGCCTGTCAGGATGGGGTCTCAGGGATCAGCTGGTATGGCTGTGTCGAGGAGGCTAACACTATGCTTCTATCTGCTTCTCTTTCCACCTTCAGTAGTGGACTGAGCCACACGGAATTTTTCAGCATTCAGCCATTTCTACCTACAGATATGACAGTTCCATGCTGTTCAACTTAATCTCTGTGAAGGAGTTGGTTTCAAGAAGATGCAGGATATATTATAAGGCACAGGGGCTCCTCCTTGTACCCTTAGGCTGCTGGTTAGACAGGAGAGTGCAAAAGAAGGAGGTGGTCACCAAAGCGTGTGTTCTCACGAAGGCCTGTTTTCGATTAAGATGAACCTAGCCCCTCCCCTTCACTCTAGTCCATTTGACAACTTCTTACCTGGAGGTTATCTAAATAGGCTTAAAAAAAAAAAAAAAAGAAAGAAAGAAAAAGAAAAGAAAGAAAGAAGAGAGCTAACTATTAAAGGGTTGTTGATTCTCCATCCTTCTTTTTGGGCAGTGTAGTGTTACTGTTGACATTGAGGGCACATTCCAGTGTGTCAGGTGCCCAAGTGTGAGGACCCTGCTTAGAAGAAGCCTTGAGTCTAAAGGAGGTAATCTTCCCTCCTGTGGCTTGGGAGGTGGATGGTGATAGGTGGTTCCATGCGATGGTATATGGAAAGTGATGGCATGAGCACGGCCTGCCCATGCACAGGAGCATGTGGCTGTGGACCAGATTTGCTCTTCATTAGGTTAAATTTTTAAAAAATTTCTTTATTGATTAAGGTGTCACATAGTTGTCCTCATTCCCCCCATTCCCATCCCAAACCCCTCCCTATGCATACCTCCACCTCTCTTTTGTCCGTGACCACTGGTTAGGTTCATATGCATGCACACAAGTCCTTTGGTTGATCTCTCGCCCTTGTCCCCACCCTTCCCTACCTTCCCTCTGAGGTCCGGCAATCTGATCAATGCTTCCCAGTCTCCGGGTCTGTTCTTGTTCATCAGTCTATGTTGTTCATCATTTCCCCTAGATGATTCCCCTAGATGAGCTCATGTGATATTAGAAATACACTTATATGAACTGAAAATGAGACAAGCAATATGGTTATGCTGAGAGGCAAATGAATCAGTCTGTAGTGAGTATCTTTCTCGACCAACAGTTCTTTTGAGCCCCAATTTTTGTGTCAAACAGTTCCTTATGTGTATATGTCAGCAATGATATCTCAGTTCTGGATGGTGGACAAATGATAGTAATGCAGGTCTGACCCTCTCTGGTTTGGTCCTGGGCAACCTGCAGTGATGCATAGCTGCTGTCTGCTAGTAAGGCAAGGCATCATCAGCATCTTCCATCTCTGGACTGTTTCTCTTCTGTTTTCATGACTGGAGCAGTCCTGTCAATTCCTCTCTGTTGCAGGAATCCACATGGTCTCAGAGTTGTTTTCTGAAAATATACAAACATATTCTCCACCAAAAGTTAAATAAAGGAATCTTTTCTATAAATTGGACTTTCGATCCTTTTTCATTTTTTGCCCAAATGATTTTTTTTTGGCTTGTTTTGACACCATGTATGTTTCACATGGTGTCTTGCTGTTAGCATTACACATGAAAGTTAATTTTTTCTCTTAATTTTTTATTAAGGTATTATGTGTATACATATCTTAGCTTTGCCCCCCCCCCCACACACACACTCCCATACATGCCCTCACCTCCTAGAGTTTTGCGTCCATTGTTTATGCTTTTATGCATGCATACAAGTCCTTCGGTTGATCTCTTATCTCCCCGACCTCTCCCTAACCTTCCCACTATAATTTGACATTCTGTTTGATGCTTTACTGTATCTTTTTGTACAACAGTTTATGTTCTTTATTTTCCATAAGAAAGTTAATTTTCTGAAGTAAAAATTTTCTAGATGTAATTTACTTACAGGATAGTTTTCCTTACATGATATGTTTTTTTAAATTTAAATATTAGGAGGCTTTTGGAAATTTTATTATGTAGTCTTGATAGCTTTTAAATTTTAATTTTTTGCACTAAAATATGACTGTTTTAGGTTCATTACATTTTACACAATTTTACCATGAGATGAACTGCCAATAAAAGTTTTAGTTAACACTTTAGGAACAACTTTTTGTCCAGTACAGTTAATTTTTCTAGAATATTTGCTTATTTCAATTAGCCAATTTAAATTAGTCTGAAAACATGACTACTATTTTACTGTCAAATTTAATACTCTTAACAACAATCTTATTTTACCCTGTAAATATTAGTGGAAAGGATTATTTGCTCAGGGCCCTGAGCATTCCTGGTGTTAGGCTGGATTTAGATATCAAAAACCCCACTTGCCCACATCATGGGTACAAGACAACTCAAACAAGTCTTGTTGCAGTGAGAGGGTAGCTGCAGTCCACAAAGTCTCTGTCTGTTAGCTGGGTCCCAATTTGAGCTGAGCATGGGAAGCTAAGCGGCCATCGGGGCAGGAGACTTTCCTCAGAAGGGGCAAGGGTTCAGGACTCTGCAAATTTGGGGGGTGAGGGTCTGTGCCCCACCTCTGTTAACTCCCAAGTACTCTCCTGTTGGTCCCTCTGTGATTGTGTCTTCCCTGAGGAATCTTACCCTTCTCTGGCTAACCAGCCATCCTCCGGGGCCAAGCAAGGTGATGTGATATGAGGTGAGGTTCTGCCTCCTTGGTAGCCTGCGCTCCTGTGGCCTCCACGCCTAGCATCTGCCTTGGGATCCCCTAGCCTGCTGGCAGGGCCCCAGCACTCATCACATATCTTGTGGAACCCAGGTTTCTTCTCTAGGGAGGGCACAGCTCACCCCACTGGCCAAGAGACATCCATGGTACCAGCTATCACAAGGCTTCAATTTCGGCATGAACAGAAAGTTCCGGCATCAGCTGTGGGCACAGGTTCTTGAGCAGAAGAACTTGATGGTTCAACAGGATGGGTCCAGGCGAAATCAAAGGAGAAGCCCCGTTCTGCAGCAGGGTTTTTCCAAAGGACAAAGTGTTTGGGGCATCAGCATCTGCCCTACTTGACTTGCAAGAAACTATGCCCTACTTGACTGACCCTTTGGGACAGTCCTATTGATATTTCTATATTAAATGAAAATTCGATGCTAAAATTGTACTGCCCAATTTATCTTTATTAAGGAAATATTAGGCTCCTGACTACACAATAGATTTTGATATCCTGGTGCTTGTGTCATCTATGCTGGAATATCATTGTTCTACCTGTACTGCAGGTGATGCTCAGTCTTTGGGCATTGAGATCTTAGTGTTTTCCTGTAAGGTAAATGCACTATATAGTTGGGAAAAATGTAATATTTTTTACCCATTGGTATAGTCCTTAAAGGGGTGTGTGTGTGTGTGTGTGTGTGTGTTTATGCTGATAAAAGTATGTGTTTGGGTTGTTTTTTTTTTTTCTTCAAGAATGCTGTTGTAGTAGCTTTTCCTTTACAGAAATTCTATCACCTCTCCCCACAAATAGCAACATGTACTGTGCAATATTGTTTAGTCAAGCTTATTAGCTTGGCAGAATAAAAAAATTCAAGCTTTTTCCATATGTTATTTATATGCTTGACTTTTTCCTGACTGCATCTTATGGCCAGTGATAATTTGTGTCATATCTTAAGCAGTTTCCTTCCTAACTTTTTATAATTTTGACTTTTGACATGTTTTATAGTTAAAATTGTACTTTTTTCCTTTAGCGGCATTCAAATGCATCACAGTCACTTTGTGAAATTGTTCGCCTGAGCAGAGACCAGATGTTACAAATTCAGAACAGTCCAGAGCCAGATCCTCTGCTTGCCACTCTAGAAAAGTATGTTTAAAACTCAGTTTTTGTCCTTTGTTCATATTCATGTTATTTGATGTGTTGCCTTTATGAGATTGGTAAGTGTTGGGAATCACGACCATGGAAAATATTATACTATATTTTGGGTGGGTGAGAAGGTAGGAAAATTGCTTGTCTGATCCCAGCCATTGTAATTCCCAGTAGAGACCTAGAGGAAATGTAAGTAAATGACATTTATATGTAGACTCTGAACTTTTCAAAGTTCAAACTAGAATTCATTAAAACCATGGTAAGATGGTGTAGCCACATCATAACTGTTCTCACAGTCTCTACGAGTCTTGATGGAGAATTTCTTTTGAATGCACTAATTTGATTTATTTCAGCAAGTAATTTTGTCAGAAGCCCTTTTTCCTTTTATAGCTGACTAAGGGCAACCTTATCAGACCTGATTTGAAGGGGATACATGTCATGTATGTTTCATTTCTTTGTACTGGCTTCTGCCCTTTTTAGAAAATGCTTAAGTGAGCAGCCATGTCATGTTCAGGTTTCAGAAAATAGCTTGGGATGGTGTGCTGTTTTGAAATTTGTGAGTGGCCAGCCTGCATGTACTAGATTTTTCTAGATTCACACGTTTTCAGAGAGTCTTTACCATTAAATATGGGCAATTGTTTGACCTGCATCTATGCAGCTGAAAGTATTTTAATAAAGAAAAACCAGGCATTTCCCCATTTAGGTGATTGGTTGGAAAGTTAGCATTGTCAAGTGTGAAAAGCTGTCTTGTTTCAACTTACTGCTGCTCTCCTTCTTTTTAGTGCCTTTGTCAGTCCGTTTCAGTCCTCCTGTATAGTGAGGCTCATTTGCATCTTTTGGCTTAACACCTTGGAAGGCCTTTTATTAAAATAAACATGTGTATGTATTATTTACTTGGCAAGTTTGACCCAACCAAGGAACAAATTCGAGGCAAGGTATCTTGTTTTTAACTGTCTTCTGAGAAGTAAAGTTGTAATTCCCAGAGTGTGATAGAATGGAAGGAGTTGACTAGCTCTCTCACGTAGCAATACTTAAAAGAGATTACTCACTTTTGAGTAAAATGTCATTTTACCGGCCCCATTTCAGTAGTTCTTGGCATTACGGCATATGCACTTCTTTTATAACATGTAAGACATTTCATGTTCTAATAATTGCAATGTTCTTTGAATCATATAAAACTGCCATTTGAGTAGATTAAAAAACATTGAATAGCAATTATTTAATATGGTTCATGACAACACTGTCCAAGAGAAACATCATAAAAGCCACATGTAACTTAAAAATTTCTATTAGTTACATTAAAGTAAAAAAAAAAATAGGTGAAATTAATTTAATTTATTTAATAGGTTAAAAATAATATTTCAACATATGCTCATTTAAAAAAAACTGTTACTGAGCCTACAGTTAGTCTTCCATATCTGCAGATTCCCTGTGGGTACAACCACTGGATCAAAAATCTTAGGGGGGAGAAAGTTAATGATGTTGCTTACATGTCCTATGTACCAAACATGTAGACTTGTTTTCCTTGTCATTATTCCCTAAACAATATAGTGAACTGATGATTTATGGAGCATTCACATTGTATTAGGTATTATAAATAATCTGGAGATGTAAAGTATACAGGAGAATGTATGTAGGTTATATGCAAATACTCTACACAATTTTACATAAGGGACTTGAGTGTCCTTGGGTTTTGGTATCCTCAAGATCCTGGAATCCTTGGATACGGAAGGACGACTGTATACTGTAGTCTTCTCTTTTTTATATATGTAGTTTTTATATAAAGTTTTGGAAATCCAACATATTTTACACTTAAGACAGATCAGTTTAGACTAGTTACATTTTGAGAGTTCAGTGACCACTTGTGGTAAATGGCTCCTGTCTTGGACATCACAAGTTCACTCTGAATGTCAGACTGATCACTAGTTATCACTGAGTTCTTTAACTGCAATCCTCTATTCACACAACTCTGCTTGAACCAAGTGAGGGATCTAGCCACTGGAGCCTCTGTCTACTAGCTGTTAGATTTCAGGCTGTGTCTATAGTTCTGAATCAGGCAGCTATCTTTGAATGCAGATAGGTATATTCTCAGAATTCATACCATTAAATATTAGTTGGAGTAGGTTTCTTCAAATACATGGATCTGATGAGTCAGGGGTCCCACTATGCCACTGAGTTAAACCTTCCCTGCATTTAGCAGCAGGGACACTTCCTCTGCTTCCCACATTCTTCTTAAGAATGAGAACCAACCCCCCCTAAATATCAGACATGCTCCTACTTTATGGTGGTTCTTTTAATATCTGTTGATTGAGAAAATACACAGAAGGCTTCTTTCTGTGAACCTAGTAAGCTTATTAACTATAATAATTTCTTTTTACATATTTGATAAATTATGTAGAAATATAATATTATTAGGCCAATCTGACAATACATAATAAACAGATTGCCTAATCTTTGTATTATGCCAAACAACTCATAGGTTTGGTAGCACCCTGTGTGTGTGTGTGTGTGTGTGTGTGTGTGTGTGCGCGCGCGCGCACGCGCGCGCAAGCGCCGTATGTATGAATATAAGTTAGCATTAAAGGAAAAGTTTGAAATGAGCTAAAGTTAAAGAGAATGATAAAGATGGGTAGTGATACCAAAAAGTCTCTTAAAAAGTGGGTTGAAGTGTAAGATAATGAATATTAGCTTGGGAAGCAATCTGGTCTTAAAGTGAATATATTCAATTTAGTGGATCTGGAAAATTTTCAAGTTCAAAAATTCCTTGAAAGATAGTTGAGTTAGAGTTGGACTGTGCAGCTCTTAATTCTTAATACTAATGAACTTGGAATGAGTTGGGGTTTGATTCCTGTTCAGCCAGTAGTTGTATAGAAGTCTTTCCTCTGCCTGCCCATAGAAAAAAAAACAGAAGCGAGCCATTGTCTCAAATACATGGCTAAAACCCTGGAAGGCTTCATGCATCAGACAACTTATACCATTAGTTCCACTGATGCTCACCCAGGAACTACAGTTTTTTAATGTAAAAATGAATATCTTTTATGTGTAAATAAATACCTGATGAAAGAATATGAAGACATTCCTTTTATCCTATTTGGTAAGCTCAGTCCCTTTGGTATTCAGTGATTTTTGTATGTTTAGATAAGACTCAGAATATGGCTCAGCTACTATGTTACATCTTGACCATCAAGTGTTTGCAGGCTAGTCTATCCTTTTTGTCTGTTAGTAGAATGCCTTTTGGATGTAGTAGAGGTCAAGTTTGATGTAGCCATGAAATAGTGAGGGCCTCTCTGTTAGCCGCTCCGATCAGGCCCAGTGCTGATGAAAGTGGGGCAGTGCTCCCTGATAGTGAGGTGGGCATCTGTAGTCCGACACTGTCCATACCTCTTTTTCTTCAGTGCCCCTGACGTTGCTATTTAGAATATACATATTTTCTGTAAAAACAACAACACTGTCTTCCACAGTGCAATCCCAGCCCTAAACTCATATTTACCCTGTAGACAGCCATGCTGAGTGACTGTTACAGCACTGTTTTAGGTAGAGGTCTCGAGTGATTTTAGTGCAGGTGTGGGAGTACCTGAAAGCCACTTCCTGCAGGGGAATCCTGAGTTAGTTTAGATACCAGTTTTATTTGCTTCCCCCAAGTGAAAAGAGATTCTCTTCTCCTCACTGCCCTAGGCTGGCAAGGGACCTGGTATTAGGATACAGTGAGCACAGCTGTGCCTTTGGATGACTAGTGTGAGCTGCGGGCAGCCCCCCTGAATGTCAGGAAGGTCCCTTCCTTAATCTCTATGGATTCTGAAAATTACAGAGATCCTAAAAAATGGAGGTTTTCCTTGAGAAAATCTGTGTAAATTTTCCTAGCAGGTTACCTTACATTTTAATTGTGACCTAGCCTGTGTGCAAGAGAGCTGTAATAGAAAGCGCCTGCAGAAAGTTCTTTTTGGGCAATAGTTCAGTCAGACCCATTTCAGTGCTACCACTTTATTTTAGATCTATGAAATTTTAATTGTAGAGTAAAAGGCAATAATTGATGTTCTCTTTTACCTGTTTTAGATATTAATTATACACTAATATGCCTTTGTGGCTTCTTATTAGCCTTTTAAAAAATATTCCCTTTTTTTGTGGGGGTGAAGGGTTCTAGGTCTTTACTATGCCACCACCACCACCACTCTGGTTTGAGTGGGAGGTGATGTCCAGTCTTGAAATATTTGTTGGCTCTCAACAAAATTGGCAAAAGGAAGCAGGGCCCAGATGATTTTATAGAGGAAAGGAGGGAGCAATACATATATATATGGAGAGTATATATATATATACACATATATATATATATATATTGTAAGCAGGATCACTTGCCTACTTTAATAAATGTATTAAAAGAAAAGACTATTAAGTGAAACAAACATGCACAAGTGACCGTGAATTCTTGTATAATATTTGTCTCATTGGTACTATGACCTTTTTCTCTGAAGTTGTTATTGGTGAATGATGTTACAATTAACACTTGACTGTTGATTTGTTTTCCTAGGAAAGAAAGTATAGAGCAGCTTCTGTCGAATATATTCCACAAGGATAAAAACGAACCAGCTATAGTCAGTGCGATACAGATACTGCTGACATTACTGGAGACACGACGACCAACGTAAGCTTTTCTTTTATATCCTACAAAATGCTATTTCGTTTTGCTTTTAGATTTTTTAAAAGCTAAGAGTTGAGTTGTTGGTTATAAGCTACAATATCATGCCCTTGAATTTCAGGTGCTGAATCTTTTTCTGCTGTATAAACTATAAGTAAGTTTTATGTGAATGCATTACATAGGGATGCAGTTGAAAATATCATTTGATAAATACTCTTTATTGGCAGTATTTGGATTCTGGACATCTGGGTTTTGTAGTACTTAAAAAAATGTATGACTAGTCAAGGAATTTTGAACAGGACCAGTGATTGATATAAGTTGTCTCCTGCATATTACAATGTGTCATTGATGTAATATAGGGCAGTGTGATACTAGTATTTGTGATAACAAAGTTTATATGCATGATTAAGTTTATGGTTTTGTTTTTTTGTTTTTTTCACTTAAGCAGGAAAGGTGGTTGTTCTATAAATATGGCTTAGGAAGTGACTCACCACTTGGGGAAAAATATGTTTATACCTATTTTACATAATAATGAGTTCCAGTTGAATTAAAAACACTAGAGGAAAACTATGCAAACATTCAAAAGAATTATGGAATTGTGAAGAATTTTTAAGCATTTCTCTTTATACAGAAAGAAACTGTAATGAAAAAAGCTATATTTGGCCACATAAATTATTAAACCTCCCTACACATCCAAAAGCACTGTAATTTATTTCCCTTCCTCCCTTTCCAATAATTGAGTTTCTGAATGCTGTCCCATGTAGCTCTTGCAGTTAGAAATCGCTTCCACATGTGGAATATTTTCAAGTAATCGTCAGAACAATCACTCTAGAAGTTAGCTGTGTGCCAGGCAGTGTTCAGTTCTGTCTGCATTAGCATGATCCTCACGGCAGTCTTGGGAGAGACGTTGAGTAAGCCCACTTTCCCCATTTGAACAAATAACTGGGAAGAGAAGAGCCAGGACGTGAGCCAGGGCACAATTCCAGCAATGACGTTATTAACCACTGGTTTGCACTGATGTTCAGTTGACACCACATCCAGATAGAACTTTTCATTTGAACGGCATCCCTGCAGTTTTAGGCCCCTTCTTCCTGATACCCTTTCTCCCCACTTGGGCTCTGTCCTGCCCATTGGGTTTTGGGAGTCTCATTGCATTCATAAGTCTTCGTGTAGGAGTGGGTTCTAATGAGTATTGATTGAGCTTTTGGGAGAGGAGTAATTTAAGCCTTTTAAATAGAAAACCATGTTGATTAGCCAAGAAAAACTAGAATAAATGCAGGCCTGTTACTAACATCCAAATGGTAGGCAGTGTGGTATGCCCTGTACTTCAGGGTTCAGAGCTCCTGCTTTCCATATTTTCCAGCTAGAGAACTGCTAGTGGTGTAACAGGTACAAGGAAATTGGTGGTTGAAGTGAATGGAAAGAAATCACATACAATTTCCCACCTGGCTCTCTGGGCCTCTGGATTTCTGGTTGTGTCCATTGGTCCCTGTCGAATTATTACATGTTTATATAGCTGTTGTGTGCATATCTATATGCTGATATGGAACACCGTGATTTGTTCTGAAATTGTAATAAATATAATTAACTTGCTTTATTTTAAGATTTGAAGGCCATATAGAGATCTGTCCACCAGGCATGAGTCATTCAGCCTGTTTGGTCAACAAGAGTGTTTTAGAAGCCATCCGAGGAAGACTTGGATCTTTTCATGAACTCCTGCTTGAGCCACCTAAGGTAGGGCCGCTCTCTTAAACATGGCTGGCCAGCTTAATAATTTATTTAAACAGTCGTTAGAAAAAAATATGAACCTTCTAAGTAATAGAACTAGCTGTGACCAGCATGCACAAAATATGTTACAAGTACACTGTCAGTTGTCTTTATTGCTTTTGAGCTAGTTTTTAATTGGCTTTTATCTATATACTAGAGGAATTTCATGCACTGGGGAATGGGGGTGGTGTCCCTCAGCCCGGTGGCCTGCACCTTCTCACAGTCTGGGTGCCCTTGGGGAGATGTCTGACTGCTGCGGAGCCTTCTCCCGCCATTGCTGCTGTGCTCACCAGCGGTAAGCCCTGCTTCTGGCTGAGCAGTGCTTCCCTTGTGGGAGCTCACTGACCACCAGGAGGCTGCCCCTGCATTGAGCGTCTCCTCCCTGGTGGTCAGTGTGCATCATAGCGACTGGTCTTTCCACCTTTTGGTCCATTTATGTATTAGACTTTTATTAAATAGGATAATGTTTAAGTTAACAAATGTGTATAATTAAAATTTTTATTTTTTAATTTTTATTATTATTTTTTTTTTTACAGAGAGGAAGGGGGAGAGATAGAGAGCCAGAAACGTCGATGAGAGAGAAACATCGACCAGTTGCCTCTTGCACACCCCCTACCCGGGGATGTGCCCGCAACCAACATACATGCCCCTGACCGGAATCCAACCTGGGACCTTTCAGTCCGCAGACCGACGCTCTACCACTGAGCCAAACCGGCCTCAGCAAAATTAAAAATTTTTTAACCTGCTTAGGAAACTTATTCTTTTTATAAACTCTGGTTACTTATATGCCCATAAAATGAACACTTTTCTTCTCATAGCATATTATTTTCACATTTTTGAGGTAAAATGAACCTTGCAGGAATCGGTCTTGGAATTGGGGTTGTTTTATTCAGAGTTGGAGCAGTAGAGCATCTAATGGGCAGATGCTTGTTTAAAAAACTGTCAGTTGAATGTGACTTGGAGCCCAAGATTTTCCGCAGGGAGCATGTGTGTGCTGATGTAAAAGTGACTCTTTACTCGGGCAGGCCATGAGAGAGCACTGAGAACAGGCAATGAAGACCTGCAAAATGAGTCCAGGGGCCCCAGTCCACAGTGGTTTTATCACTCCAGCCCCTGCCTGCCCAATGGTGCACAGGGGTAGGGTAGGGTAGGGTAAGAGGCTCTCTCTCTGGCATCTGGAGGGTGGAACACTCAGGTCTAGAGAGTTCTGCCAGCACCAGCTCTTATGTGTTCCTTTTCCTTCAGCCCTATGTCACTGGATTCAGTGTCCTAGACATTGTAGCTGGAACTTTGGTGGTGTATGCTAGTTACTTCATTCAAAATGAAATGTTTTCTGTTTATTTAATCATTTTGTGGAGTGGGAACCCAGATACTTTATGTCCATTACCAAGGAAGAGTAGTTCAGTTTCTGGATGATCTCTTCAGATGGCTGGTGCTACAGTGATCAAATGTGCTCCACCTCCTCCATTCTGTCTTCCCTGCATTCAGCCTGCATGGGATTCCGGCCAGAGTGCTTGGCTGTTCTTTCCGGAAAAGTGCCTGTGTTGGTATTGAATATTTAACGGTCTGTGGCATCCCTCATGCCAGACCTGGGCAGAAGAAGAGGGAGAGTAAGGAAGAAAAAGGATTTACTTAGGAGGAGAGGAGAGAACAGCACAAGTGGAAGTTGGAAGAGGAAGAAAGATGAGAGAGAAGAGGGTGCATGATGAAGGTCCTGACCAGTTAATGTGGACGACCTTTCCATCTTCCTTGCAGAGGGACATCGAGAGTAGCATCTAATATGGACTTTCACACTCTTACTCTTCTTGGCCCCAATCCAAAGGGAGGTATTGTCTCATTTGGAGGAGTGAGTGTGTTCAGTGTGTCCTGATTTTACTGTCTGGTGTGGTGTGTGAGTGGATCATGGAGCTTTTTAAAATATCTGATGATTAGAGCTGTTGTACATGGAGTAAAACTGTGAGCCTCTCAACCCCCCGAAGGCTCGGGGAACAGAAAGGGGTGAGGATGCTGACGGGATGGGACACTGAAAGGACGACCACACAGCTGAACAGTTGGACTTGAGAGTCCGAAAGGTTCTGTGCCTATCTGTTGTGACTTCACACGGTAGGAACTCCCTTTTATGGACAAGAGCAGGTTTGAGGTTGATGCTGTTTCAAGGTTGTTGGCCAGAGGCAGCTTCTGAGTGTGGATCTTTGTTGCAGATTTGGCAAAGGCAGAGGCTGTGTTCCAAGACTATTTGTAACTCTTCTTGGTTTCTGGTCAGGTTTGACATATTGACTGGTTTTTAGCGACCCACGTAGCTTCCTGCTTTCTTTCTGTGGCAGTAAGAATGTTAAAATGGGGCACTTCATTTCTTAGAAAATGGTCCAAGGAAGTTGCTCGATTGTTTTCTCTTGTTACTTCATTATATCCTGAAGATGTAAATTTTCCTTCAGATATAGAATTCAGGCCAAGTTGTTTACAGTGTTAGATTACCTGGTGTTCATCCTTAGCACACACCCTGTCCCTTTCTGTTTGTTATCTAGTGGATTGCATTGGGAAGCCTTTTAATGGAAAGCTTTTTCTTCTCAGAAAAGTGTGATGAAGACGACATGGGGTGTGCTGGACCCTCCTGTCGGCAACACCCGGTTGAATGTGATTCGGTTGATATCCAGCCTGCTTCAGACAAACACCAGCAGTATCAATGCGGACCTCATGGAGCTGAACAGTATTGGGGTCATATTGGTAAGACTTCCCTGAACAGATGCTCCCATTTGCCCTTGGTATTTTATGGCCATATAACTCAAGGTATAACCTCACAAATTTACAATGCATGCTAGTGACTTTTCTCAGTCTTATGTGTAAATAAATGATCTTGAGTTAGTCATCAAATTTGAATGCTTTAAATTTGTCAGTAGTTATTTATGTAAAGAAAACTGTATTAGACTTTCAGAGATGATGAAGCCAGATTTTGCCGAGAAGTTCAGCCTGTGGTTAGTCACCCTCTTCAGGAGATTGTATGAACAGTGAATAACTGCTAGTTATAGCATTGTTTTCTATTCATTGTTTATCTTCTTTCCCCGGAGATATATCTGTTTATCATGTCTGAGACATGTCTGGTCTTTTGATTTGAGTCCAAAATTTCCCTTTGAAACAGCGGTGAGTCTGCTTGTCAGTGAAAGGGGGAAAGGAAGAGCCTAGGAAGGAGCTCCTCCCCAGTTTCAAAGTTTGTGCTTAGAATCCATAGGCCCCACGCTTGCTTTGTCCTGCCCCACCATCCGGAAGGTATGAGGTTAACACTTAGCAGATTTCACAGGTACCATCACACTGTCCATTTGGGGAGTTTAGGGTTGTTTCACAGGAGGATGTGTGGGTGTTTGATCTCTACATGAAAAGCAGTGCACATTAGAATGTGCACTTATTTCTGCTTATGTGATCTTGAACATCAAACACAGACTGTCTTTCAGATCATTCCCAGAAAAGAGATGCACTCATGCTGTTTATAGTGGAGCCAGATTTGAATTCACATCCAATTGCAAACCCATGCAAGGTTTTCAACTATACCATGTGCTTGCTAGCGTCACTGAGATACTTTCAGTTCAGCTTTGGTTAAATGACATGTCAGTGTAGGGCGTAAAGATCAGGAACATTTTGGATAAAGGTGAAATGTGAAAGGATAATAGTTTGTTTGGCAGCATAATTATTGCCCTAGGGGGCATAGTATTTGCCCTACTCTCTGGATAGAATATAAAACTCAAATATACATACCTTTCTACTTCTGTCTCTTTAATCTTAGTAGTTTAATCTTAGTATTGCTAATCTTTAGATAATAAATTCGATAAAACTCATAAGTGTATCATCATTTCTTATTCATTTGAGAGATTAGCTAACCAGACTCAATGATTTCCTAAATATATACATTAAATGTGTTTTATGCTTTTGGGGATTGTCTTTTCTTTTTGTGATATGTTACCTTTTCAGGTAATCAGAAAATCACTTGTTTTGCTCCATTCATTGACAGGTCTGAGTTTCAAATGCCCGAATGGTTGGTTATTCTTGGTTAATATGTGAGCACCTGAAGATTGGAGCCTATGTATTTCTTTCTGCCTTGTTGTGCCTAGCACTGTGCCTTGCACAAAAAGCCTTCAGTAAATATTTGTTAAATCAAAAGGAAATTGTCATAAATAGAGGCCCAGTGCATGAAATTTGTATACAGGTAGGGTCCCTAGCAGCTGCCAGCCAGGGCCTTCCTTTGTTTTGCGGCACCCCCTGGTGGTCAGCACATGTCAATCGAACTCAGGGTTGGTCAAACTCCCGAGGGGACACTTTGTATAGTAGGCATATATTTATTTATTTATATATATATTTCTTTTAAAATTATGTACTGAATTTAACGTCAGCATTAGCTGTCTTGAAAACATAAGAAGATACTCCCTTTCTCTTTGAGTAACTATTACCTTTTCTTCATCTGTTTATTGTTGGTATCTATATGATTTCATGAAAACTTTGGCATGTTGAAAGAGCAAATATCCTGTTATTTAGCCTATAAAGTGCTGTTTCAAATAAACTTGTGTTCTTTTAATAGTCCTATTGGACTAAGAACACATCATTTTTACTTTATTAAATACCATTTGGTCAGTATTTTAAAGCAGTGACTTAAATATTGAGGTAACTGAATAAAAATATGTTTGTTTGTTTGTTTGTTTGTTTGTTTGTTTTGTAGGACATGTTCTTCAAATATACATGGAATAACTTTTTACATACACAAGTGGAAATTTGTGTTGCACTGATACTTGCAAGTCCCTTTGAGAACACAGAAAATAGCACAATTACTGATCAGGAAACCACTGGTGACAATTTGTTGTTGAAACACGTAAGCTTACTTGACTTTTTTTTTCTGCTACTCCTGGTCATAGTGTTTTTCCACTTAAGTGTGAAATGAATTGTTATAGCTTACACTTAGAAAGTATAAGTATGTTGCCCTGGCCAGTGTCTTAGTTGATTGGATCATCATCCCATGCACTGAAGGGTTGTGGGTTTAATTCCTGGTCACGGTACATACCTAGGTTTTGTGTTCAACCTCCAGTTGGGGAGGCAACTGATCAATGTTTCTCTCTCACATCTGTGTTTTTTTCTCCCTCTCTGTCCTCTAAAATCAGTAAAAATAATATCCTCAGGTGAGGATTAAAAAGAAAGTACAAGTATTACTATGAATTCTGAGTTAAAAATTTTTCTTGATTCCATTTTAATTTTGGTCAGGCTCTGTATTTCTGGGCCCAGTGTCCATGGTTAATAAAACCTGGCTTTGCTTTAGGCCAATGGCTCATTGGTGTTAGTACTTGAAATATCGTCCTTTCCCAGTAGATGCACAGCTAAAGGTGTGGGTCCTGTCAGGAATCCCTGTAGTGTTCTGAGAGCCTCGGCCACATTGATTTAGCCAATAATTTAAGCTCTATTTAGCTTGCTGGGCTACACATACCACTATTGTATTCAATTAGCATTCTATCTCCCTTTAAAATGTGACACTATGACATATAAATATTAACTGGAATATTCCTTTTCATTCAGCTTTTTCAAAAATGTCAGTTAATAGAACGAATACTTGATGCCTGGGACATGAACGAGAAGAAACAGTAAGTGAATTGTTGGGTAGGAATTTAGTTTGATTTTTCATTTGAAGAAAATGTCCTTCCTTACCCTGGACAGAGAGCAGTGAAAGAGATTACATGGTATGTGGCACTTTATAGTTACAAACGCTTCTCCCTGGATGGCCAGGGTATTTCATTGTAACAACTATTTTTCTCATAATTTATTTTTTGATTTCTCAGTCTTTCTACCTCTTGAGGGGAAACCAGGGGTTTGGAGTACTACCCACCTCTGTGCTGCTTTTGAGACTTGCTAGTCCTTTTTGAATGGCTGTTTTTCTGAGAATAATGTGGAGTTGAAGGAAGCGTTGTCAGGTCCAGTCCGCCTCAGTGATGGTTGGACCTAGCACTCTGGTTCTGCGTACCCCATGTTCTCACTGTGCAGAAGTGTCACTTCATGGAACTAGAGGGAGGAATTGCCTACTTGTCAGGAAATTTCTATTAGCTGATGGGCAAGATTACTTGAAGTCTTAGTTGATGTGTGTCAGTAGTATTTTGCACAGATTTATTTTGTCCTAGTGATGGTGTTTGTAATAGGCGTTGGTCTAAATGAAAAGATGGATATAGTTGGGAAGGTTAGACCCTAAATGGGGAAAGGGACAAGGTGATACATGGGCCAGCCATGAGTGGATTACTTCTCTTGGCCAAGTCTTCAAATCAGCCAATATTTTAACTTGAGAAATGCTATTGGTAGATGATTATCTTTATTAAATGATTAAAATTTGATGACTTATACTAAAATGAAGCAGTTCCCTACGATCTATTTAAAGTCTGAAAAATAGTTTCACAAAAAGATAAAAAGGAAAGTCACAGAAACATGAAGCATCAATGAATGTGTGGGTTTTGTTGGGTTTTTAAAGCTAGTACTGGTTTCTTGGTTAGTTGATTGGTATATTTGAATAAACCTTGATCCATGGAGTGAGGCTATAGTATAATCTTTGAGCAGAGTTTCTGGCACCCCACCTCCCATCCTCACCCCCAAGCCTGGTAATATTCTGGCACTCGCTTTTCTGTTTCATCCCTCCGTCCTGTCAGGACTCTGAAGGTCTGTCCTCTCCTGTCAGGGCCCAGGGAGGACGACGGCATGGCTACATGGGACACCTGACGAGGATAGCTAACTGCATCGTGCACAGCACTGACAAGGGCCCTAATAGCGCACTGGTGCAGCAGCTTATCAAAGGTAAGTGCTTCTTGGAGTCTCATCACATTTTTGTAAGGTCAGAGAAAGGATTTAAGGATAAAATGGAAATACTCTGTCATTTGTAATAGTTCTCTGTGGAATTTTTTAAATAATTATCTGAAGACTTGAATGAATTTCTTGAGAAAGTTCTGAACAATGTAGTTCTTTACTGGTCTCATTTCTGCAGTCTTTTAGCAGGTATTTCAGGTTTGGCTGAGCTCAGCACACTAGAGTTACCCACCTTCTAAGAGCACTGCTCAGTGACCTGGTCCTTGAGCTCTAATCACTCTTGCTTTCTCTTTCCTTCTGAAGACCAGCTGTGTAGCCTGTGGATTGAGTCCTTTAACTGGGGCATTTGTCCAAATCTCCATTACTAACACAGAACTCTTTCATTGAAATTAACTAACATTGAAATTTTGTCAGCCCAGGTTACTTGGAAGAAAGTGTGTGGGTGCCTTTTATACTGGCACTCAGACCCTGGCCCGGTCTGTCCCCTCTAAAACGAGAGAGCTCTGTGTGCCAGCAGAATCACTAGTCCTGGGACTTACTCTGAAAAATCTTCACCTTTGTAGCACACAGTGCTTTCAGAGTTAACGTGATGAAAATCGTTTTTCACTCTCTTCTTCATTTACCTTTTAAGAATGTTTACAAGAGGCTATTATCTATGGGATGTACATTCAAAGAATAGCTGTTGCCCCAAAATGGAAAAATTGGGGTTTGTCCACTTGGAATTTTGCTTCTCGAGAGAGGTATAAGCCAAGTCATCACAGGTTATCTGTCTGTTCTTACCAAGGAGAAGTGGCCGTGTGTGTGTGTGTGTGTGTGTGTGTGTGTGTGTGTGTGTAGAGAGATGGTTTTTCTAGATTGGTCTCTTGTATGGTGGTTGCTTGCCAGTGCTGTGTGCTGGTGCATGCAAGCGTGTATTTAAAGCAGAATTGTAGATGAAGCTGTAGTCTATGACAGTAAGGCCTCCAAAATTATAGCTGTGGTTTCCTTTTCTCAGAAAAGGCGTTATATATCCTTTTCTTTAAAAGTTCTTTAGAACGTAGAATTTCACTATTGCATCTGATCCATGTGTTGGCCTATGGCACAAACATTTAGGAAATATTATTTTTTATCAATTTGAAAAGCCATACTGAAACATCCTTTGGTCAGATGTCAATCAGAGTACCTCAAGAAAATGTGCAGGAGCCAACATTTGCGGCATTGTCTAAACTTAGGTGATGGTGAAGAAAGATGGCATTCTTCTACCTTAAAGACCTGTTGCCTTTCTCAGAAGAGTTTATTTGAAACACTCACATTTTCCAGTTTGTTTTTAACCAAAAGATTTTTAAAAACATGTTACATTTACAGTTGCTAAGGGCTTTTGACATCAAGCATAGAGTTTTGGGGAGTGAGAGTTCTGGTCCTAAAAGCCCTCAGGTTCCCCTGAGTTCACCTTTGGGAACTGCTTGGTGGGCCCCCTGTTACCGGGTGAGTTTATTTGCCTGAGTGGGTTACTATGGTAATGACACTTTTCTCCTCCTTTCCCTCTAAAGATCTTCCAGACGACCTCAGGGAGCGATGGGAGACCTTCTGCACAACTTCCTTAGGAGAAACTAACAAGAGGAACACGGTAGATCTAGTAGGTTTTACAAGGTTAAATTTCTATGGTTTCAGGGCACTTAGCCTTTGCTCAAATTTTCAGAAAGACGTGAAGATCTTCCATTTGTCCCGGTAATAGTGTATCAAAGATAAGCTCATTTATTTTTTTTACTAAGAAGACAGGTCAGAATTCGCATTATATTTGCTAATTTGCCTAGTCAGCTCCTAATTCCTGCCTGGGATGGCACAGGGGCACAAGGAAGCCACGATGCTCCTTCTCACACCAGAGGTGGTTTCTGTTCCCTAGTCCCCTGCTCCCCGAGCACCTCAGCCACACGGCTGCAGCCACTCCGTCAGGCTGGTTGCCTTCTGCCTCAGGTAACGGTGACCCTTGGTGGTCAGAAAACCTAAATATTCCTCTGGATGGTTCCTAATGTCACTCAGTTTAATTGACCCTTGTTTAAGATCGATCTTAGCGGTAGAAAATTTATAGATGCCTTTGAAACCCCAGTTTAAAGCCTTAACAGATTGGTACTTTTAGCCAGGGAATAATGGCATTGATAATGTTTTTTAAAATTATATTGGACTTTGGAATGCATTTTTTTTTTTAATAACACATTAAGTTTTAAGGTGAGTATTGCCTTTGCTTTTAAGATGTGGGAAAGTATTTCCTCTCATAAGCATATGGCAGCCAATGATTGAGGTGGTGGCTTTCCCTCCACACGGAAGTGGGTATGTCAGACATTGAATTTTATAATTGAAATCCAAATCCAGCAGCCACAATCTTGAATTTCTAATAAACAGTAACTCCTCAATTATTAGACAATCTAGTCTCTGGCAGCCTTCTCTGTTCAAAATGGAATTTAGAAGCAGGAGAGAAATGGAAAGGCTGAGGCAGATATAGATGGTCACCAGACCATCCCAAGCCACACCCGAAGGGCCTGTTGCCTCCTTCGTTGTAGATTGTCTAACAGGTTTGGTTATCTTTTTCCAGGCTCTTGACAGGTTGGTGGGCTAATGTCTTGTTAAGGTGGGCATATGATAGAACCAGTAAGTATTAGGATTTGGAGGAATTACGAAGTTAAGAAATAACCATAAAAAGGGAGATGTGTAGGGCTATTTAATTAAAACAGGTCTTGTGGCCCTTCGTGCTGAGTGTATTATAGCCCAATAGAGAAACACATTCACTTTGGCTGCCAAGTCATCAAGAAGGGTGAAGTAATTTTTCCTGAATGTAGTACCCATGCCGGAGTTGCTACATTGTTATGTTGCCCTGGCCTGTTAGTGTTTTCCTAGTCTCAGCAAGGATTTGTTCATTTACATACCACACACTTAACTCCATCCTACTGGCTGTGGGCTTGAGGAGTTGTTGGTTATGTACCAGCCCCAAGCTCCTGTCACTTTTCCCCCTGGGAGAGCTCTGGAGTACTTGAATCGTTTGAGCCCATCAGCAGATGCGTAATATTGCTTATGCTTTTATGTTGGGAGTTTATTGTGAATGAAATTTGATATTTTAATTATATCCAGAGACCTTCGTGTTTTGACTAAGCCCCCAAACTGTGGATATTGGTAAGGACTCAGATAGAGTAAGTTTAGATGACGTAGGAAATTTTTTTGTGCGTGCTTTGGAAAATTGGATTTCATTCTCAAGGGCGAGAATGAAAAGTTTTGATGTTCTTTCCCAGTACTGATGAGATAGTTTATGGAGATTTTTTGTGGACAGTAACACAGAATTGCACAAATGGCCCTGGTTGGTGGTTTAGTGGTTAGAGTGAGGCTATGCACTGAAGAGTCTCGTGTTTGATTGCCAGTTCAAGAACATGTACCTGGGTTGCAGGTTCGATCCCCATCCCCAGTCAAGGCGTATGCATGAGGCAACCAATCGATGTGTCTCTCTCACTTCCTCCCTCACTTCTACTCTCTCTAAAAATCAAATGAAAAAATATTCTCGGATAAGAATTAATAAAAACAAACAAGCCCCACACAAATGTGCACATATGAATTGCCTGGAGATCCATCAGGTTCTGGTTGAACCTCTAAGAGTTGGTGGTTCTAACCTGCTCCAAGTCAGAGGTTAGCAGTCAAGTCAAGTCACGCTTATGATTCCCTTAGCAGCCTAATCAGCAAAGATGAAAGAAAACACTTGTTTTTTTCCTGTAACAGCAGTTAGTAAAACAATTTTTTTTATAATTGATTTTTTTTTATTGATTATAAGGTATTACATATGTGTCCACATCCCCATTGCCTCCCCACCCCACTCCCATACATGCCTTCACCGCTCTACTGACTCTGTCCATTGGTTATGCTTATTTGCATGCATACAAGTCTTTTGGTTTTTTAAGAAAGAGAATAACATCTCAAGAGCTATCTTTCACTGCAGCATCAAGAAGGTGCTTAGAATATATCTGGCCTGGCAAGAGTGATCGTATATACTTGTTACTTTTTAAAAAGTCATGATTCTATGTTCTCATTTAGTGGTTTACTAGTACTCATTAATTCAATAAATATTTGAATGGCTGCGATGTGCCAGACACAAGGACGCTTTACTAAATCAGATTGGCAGAAACCCTTGGATAAATGGATGGATACACTCCCAAAGAGGAGTGCAGTTTTAAATGAGGTGGTCTATGAAATCTACATTGAGAAGGTGACTTTTCCAGAGCCTTGATGGCAGTGAGGGAGGAAGGGTGAGTGCCAAGGACTGAGATTGGGGTGTTTTCCGTGTGTGCAGAAGCTGCCACAGTGTCCTCAATTGAGCAAGGGAAGGAGAGAATGGGACGTGAGGTCTGAGAGGTCAGATCTTGCGCAGCTTCTAGTCCACAGAAAGCCCTTCATGTTGTGATCTTGGTATGATGAAGAGCCATCAGCTGAGGCACTAACAAGTGATGTATGTTTTAAAAGATGATTATGGCTGCTGGATTGAGGCTAGAATATATTGAGCATGCAGGGAGACTAGTTAGATGATGATGACCCCATTATCCAGATGAGAAGTAATTGGTGCTCAAACTAGGAAGGTAATAAAGATTTGATGATTGGCTGGGTGATGGGCACACAATGCAATATATACAGATTATGTATCATAGAAATCTACGCTTGAAACCCACTTAATCTTATTAACCAATATCACTCCCAGTAAATTTAATTTAAAAAGATTTAATGAGAGGTAATGGGATTCTAGGTTCTTACATATATATTAATTGATTTTTAGAGAGAGAGAAACAGCAGTGGGTTGTCTCCTGTACATGTCCTGACCAGGGATTAATTCCACAACCCAAGTATGTGCTCTGACCAAGAATTGAACCTGCCACCTTCTGGTATACCGGACAACACTTCAAGCATCTGAGCAAGGCTAGGTTATATTTTGACAACAGAGTGGATAGATGTTTGTGAGACAGAAAAAACAAGATGACTTGAAAATTTAGCTGAAGGAGAAGAATGAAGGTGGCATTTACTGAAACGGAATGCCTTAAAAGGCTGTGTTTAGAAGTTTAGATCAGGGACTCATAGTGGATACATCTGTATAATGAACTACTGGTATTCTAATTAGCAAGTTTTCCCCTGTAGGTAAATTAAATTGTCTTTTTACCTCAAAGTATTCAATCAGAATCCCCACATTTAAAAATATGTATATTTTTATTGATTTCAGAGAGGAAGGGAGCGGAAGAGAGAGATAGAAACATCAATGATGAGAATCATTGATTGGCTGCCTCCTACATGCCCCCTATTGGGGATTGAGCCACAACCAGGCATATGCCCTTGACCGAAATCGAACCCAGGACCCTTTAGTCTGCAGGCCAATGCTTTATCCACCGAGCTAAACCATCTAGGGCAGAATCCCCACATCTTTCAATAACATACTTACAAAGGTGTATATACATGCATTTTGTTACTATTAATAATAACTTTCTAAAACAGTTTCTTTTTGGATAAAAATATTATTTTAGATACCTCCTAGAATTGCTTTGATATCTGGTGCACATTAGTTGCTCAAGAAAAGCTAGTTTCTTTCTCTTTAATAAGCTAAATATCTTACATTGTAGCAAAAAGTAAAAGTCTGCATGAGCATATGTTGTATCCTTTTTAAACTTAGACAGGAGTAGCCACCTCTTTTTTTGGTTCTCTCTTGTTATGTTCACCTTGCTTGCTCTGTGAATTGCCTTTAATTCTGCACCCCACCTTGGTGTAAAACACACAGTGGCTTCATATGACTCTGGCACTAGCCTGCCAGCCAAGTAGCCCAAAGCTCCTCTAAATCTATTGCAGTGGAACCACTTGACCCACTCTTGATAGCAATGGCCCCAGGAAAAGCCAGCTGCCAAGATGAAGCAGTATTCTGCCGCCGCCTCTGCATTCTGACTGGCACTCCTGGCATATCTCATCTTCCCCACATCTTTCCCCATTAACTTGCTACAGTATGATTGAATGAAGCAGGTTTCCTTTATTGACCACAAATTCTGCCTCTTGATTTCATCAGACCAGATTCAAAATTAGGGTGTGAGTGCGTTCTCTAGACCTTAGGGGGCATAGAAAGAGAACGAACTTAAAATGCTGGGTCATTAACTTGGGCTTAGTATCTTTACCACAGATGATCAGCCGTAGAGAGAGGTTAATTTTCAGGCTGTAATTAGGGCAGAATTTCACAAGCTCTACTACATACAGAACTATTTAGATTCTACTTTGGGCATAAACCGGTGTTGAAACCTCAAAAATCAGATTTGCAGGTTCTGTATCTCCTCGGTATTTGGCACAGTTTCTAGGGCTGGTAGGTAGTGGCCTCTTGTGTCCTCTCCTGATGACAGTGGTCTCTGCCCACCACACTTGTACAGTAAGCTTAGGAAGAGTAACTCAAAAAGTGTGTAAATTACCCTCAGAAGTTTCGTGCTGGTTTTTAGGATGTACAGATTATTTCTGTTTGTTACTTCCTATATAGCAGTTTTTGCTATTAGTACTATTAGTCTTTTGTCTTCATTCCTAATTGTTAATACATTTCTCCCTAATATTATGTGACATTTGCAAATTAATAAAAATCACCATGAATTGGTGAGCAGAGTTCATGTTTGCATTTTTGCTTAATTAATGAATTGATTATAAATTCTGAGCACATGGACGGTACTTTTTAAGGGGTGGAAAGTTTGGGGTCTTTTTACAAGCAGAGAACTATTAACTCAAATGCTTAGAGTGGGCAGGAAATGCAAGAATTTAAAGTGTAATCTTTTAGTGGCTGAATAGTAATTCCTGGGAATTGCAGTTTTAGCTCTCAGGCTTGGCACATATGAATTATTTTTATATTTCATCTGAGCCATTCCTTCTGCCTTCCCTTTGTAAACATTTTATAGGAGATAAAATCACTTGAGGGGAGTAACTCATCTCTTACTGTTTTCTGGTGATGCTAGCATGAGTGAAGTCACCACAAGTGGGCGGCAGAGGGCAGGAAGCCAACCGTCTGGTTGAGTGAAGTGCACCCATGAATATCGGGTGGGTTTTACAATTAACTGTTACTTAGTTTTGTTTTTGTTGTTGTAATTTTCCGTAAAAATGATGATGCAAATGTCCAAAGCTTTTCTCTGTTAAATAGTCTTTTACATTTTTATGCACATAGGTTACAACCTGCCATATTCATTCATCCAGTGATGATGAAATTGACTTTAAAGAAACGGGTTTCTCACAGGATTCTTCTTTGCAGCAAGTGAGTCATGCCTAAAGCTTTGCTTTTGTTTTTATTTTTAAATGCTTAGTCCCTTTGCCATTTATGAATCCATTTGGAGACAGATTATGTGTTAGGATGTAATTTAGGGTTCCGTATTTTCCGGCTTATAAGACGACCCCCTAATTTTACAGTTAAAACATAGGTTTAGGCCCATATTCGCTGTATAAGACTACCCCCCCACTTTAAAAAAAAAAAAAAAAAAGACTTACTTTGCTGTCAAGATCTGCAGGTAATTTTTGTGCAATTTTGGTCTTTTGCCCCCGATTTTCGTTTGATTTTTTTTTTTTTTTTTTTTTGTTTCAAAAGTCATCTTATACGCCGGAAAATATAGTACTTATTAGTTAGCAAAAGCATTTAAATAGGAAGTGTTGGATATGTGAGAAGAAGGTTTGTGTTGATGATATTTCTAGGAAATGTTTCATGCTTGGTAACAATGATGATTTGGGTAAGTTTTAAATGAACAGAATAGCTCAGTAAGCGACTCAAACATGCTCGCTATGTAGACCTTTAAATAGTTAAGGATTCCTGCAGTAGAGAACTCAGGGTAAAAATAATAGGAATGAGACCTTTTTAATGTCACAAATATCCCTGAACCAAATAGCTTATATGTTTCTAATACCTTTAATGTCTATTATAGTGACTTCTAAATTAAATTCTAGTTGAAGCAATTTGCCACCCTCCCTTCCTGCCCCCAAACTTATCTCTACTTATCAGTTGCTTATAATTGTTGTGAGGGAGAAAACAGGCTGTAAAAATAAATGTACAGACTTATCATCCACTGGTGGTTCTTGGAAAGGGGACAAATTATTTCACCTGGGTATCAAGTTTGGGAGCTAAAAATAGAAGCCCTTTTAAAAGTCATCAGCTCTTCATATGGAGAAGTCGACCAGATTTTCACATATCAGTTCCTTTGGTGTGACAACAGAATGAATGTGTTCATCTTCCCACCCTGAGTGTTGCTTAGCTTCTTTTTCCTCAACCTGTAAACCTCATTTTTCCCGGGGCCAGGATGAAGCATCTAGTGGTTATACTGGCCTGTCTTTGGCATCCAAGTAGGCTGTCACTACACTTCCAGTGTAGGTTGAGCTAAGTATTTGCTTGGTTTTGATAATAAGGCACATTCACATTTTCAAGATATGTCTGCAATGGCTTTTCCACCGTTGGTTGGCCTTTCTTTTGATTTTCTTTTTTTTTTTTAATACATTTTTATTGATTGTTAGAGAGGAAGGGAGAAGGGAGAGGGAGAGAGAAACATCATCAATTGGTGCCTTCTAAACATACCCCGACCAGGACCAAACCGGCAACCTGGGTATATACCATGACCAGGTAATGAACTGGAGACCTTTTCATGCATAGGATGATACCCAACTGAAATACACCAACCAGGGCTCTCTCTTGATTCTTGACATGTCTCTTGAATTTGAAGCCAGCCTCCAAGGTTAGGAAAAGGGGCAGCCATCCTATAGGGGGTGCTGTTGAGCAGCAAGGCCTTCCTGTGGATGGCAGCAATTCCCTCAATGCCAACTGTCCTACATTGGCTTGCGGGTCAGCAGCATCTGCCACCCAAGGTGCCCTCCTGGCTTGCTGTGAGCCCTCATGCCTGCAAGCAATCCTTTCTTGACCCGAGTTCTCTGGTGCTTCCCCAGGAAGCACTTTGACGAAACCTTCCCCTCCACTGGAGCACTGAAAGGGTCCACTTAACCTAGCGTGAACCCCTGCTGCACATTGCTCCACCCACAGTGAAGCATGATGGTGGAGAAGGTAAACCACCACGGTGATTTTGTACCTGTCCAAAGAACTTGAAGATGAAGAGTCCCCTAGACATCCATTGACACATAAGCTAATAAACGTGGAGCTTCGGGCCACTGATTTAATCAAAGGTGTCTGGAAATGGACCCCTTATTTCTTGGGAAACCTGGTTTTAGCGTTATAATTGTTCTGGGATAAATTTCTGACTTTCATGTGGTTTGACAGACAGTTGATGTGCACACGAAGTAACTCAGTCACAAAACTGCCTGGGTAACAGCTCTCACCAGGTTTATTCCTGTGGATTTTGTCCACTTTGTGTAGCCTTCTGAAAGTAGGAAAGTAACTGTTCTTTCCTGATTGACAGGCATTCAATAAAGTTTTGCATGTTAAAACCAGTCATGCGTCATCAAAGAAAAAAGGCATTTTTTTCTTTTTCATTTGAGAATGAATATGAGTCTAGGTTACTTTAGTCTAGAGCTCTTTTTCATATGAATGAGAACTTAAAGTTAGATCTCATGGAGTCCCGAGGGTAGAGAGCTTAGGGAGATCATTAGATAACGTTTCCTGAGCACGTCATCTGTGTAGCCACGTTTGGCTCGGGGCATTGTTTTGCTTCCCATCCCTGTGGTTTCCTCACCACTGGTGGTTGACTTTTTTTCCTTGTAAGTCAGCCTAACAGGTGTGGAGGGTGAGGTCTCCTAGCCTCCTCCTGCTCCTCACTCCAGACAGGTTTGTCAGGAGGCAGGCAGGTCAGACAGTGGCCTGGTGTCTGTTTCCCAGGTGGCACCACCAAAGAGATTGTTAATGAAGCAGTGGGCTCACTTCCCAGTGACTCGTACCTCCCTGACTTTGGCCAGGATGTTAGTTCTGGGAAGTATGGTTCTTCTGTTTTTTAATAATGAAAAGATTTTAAAAGCCATGTGGTGCTTTCCAGATTTGGATTCCTCAGAGTTCAAAGAACTTTTTATGTAGCTTTAAATAGAGTACAGTAACATCTTCACTTACATGGGTTTAGTAAGCTTTGATGCTTTCTTTATTAGTGAAAATCAGGTTTGAAACCTGAAATTCTTTGCTAGTTTATATCTGTGTAGAAGCTATAATAAACTTAGCATTAATGAGGACTAACAACACAGTTTAACATCTATTTATACAGCATTTACTTTGTGTTAGGTATAAGCAACCTACAGGTGAATTAAAGTGTGCAGGAGGCAGGAGGATGTGCTGTTTTATATGCAAATACTCTACACAGTTTTATAAGGGAAGTGAACATCAATCTATGGATACTGAGGGACGATTGTATGTACATAAATGTAGGCATTGACATACACATTTATAATACATTTAGAATTCGCATTCTGTTTATAAAGCAGCTAAAATATCAGGAAGCATTTAAAGGAACACTTTTGGTAATATTTCTTCCCTTTTACACCCAAAAGACTTACAATAGGATCTCTAGAAGTACAAAAGAAAATAAAAGGAAAAGGTCAAACAAAATAATTGAGGAAGACCTTTTCCCTGTGTGACCATATTTCCGATAACTCAGAGCCTGGGCTGTGCTGCTTGCTCTTTCAGGAAGACGACTCCTCGTTTCTCTAGCACGTCTTCGCAGTTACCAAGCGTTATTTTAACTTGTAAAAGAGCTGGTTTCTTCCTTTTTGATTTAATGAATTGCAATGCTACACATCATATTTTCCAACAACAAATTCAAGACGGTCCCAGATCCCCACAACCCAGCCTTGGTGTGCCTTACTAACAGCTGCCTGCAAGGCAGGCCCTGGCCCATGTGCTCATATATGTCATGTCTGGGCAAGAAGGGGCCGCCTGAAAGGGTGAGAATGAAGAGATGGCAGAGGGTATCTGGAGTTCGAGCAAGAGGTGAGGTGTTAGGTTTCAGTAAAGTAGATAAAGCTTTTTTCAGACCTAAGGAAAAGAGGCCTTCCAAAGCCAGATATAAGGTTTATTTTTTAATTACCCACAACTTGGAATATTCATGCCATAATTCCCTGCCACCAGAACGAATGGTCAGGAAGGAAGGACAGGGCACGTCTGCAGCAATTTGCAGATGGAATCCAAGATCTCTCCTCAGAGAGGACGACTGGGCCACAGCCTCCCTCCCAGCAGGTGCCTCTGGGGTGACGCCTTTAGCTCAGCCACACCTGCTGCTCATGGCCCCTGTGTGGACTCCCCTGCAGGGAGGAGTGATCCTATCTGTCCATGGGCATCACACACACGTTTTTGTTTCCATACTTATTATTGGGGTAGATTGAAAGTGGTACTTACTTATATTTATAAATGCTTTACTCCTGATCCATAGCATAGAACTTGCCTTGGGCCTGCTTGTTCTTTTAAATTAGAATATCAACATTTTTGTGGAGTTCATTTTAACATTTCCCCCATTTCTCACCTAAGAAACCCCCAGTGAGCTGGGCTCTGGAGAAGTGGTGTAGGAAACAGTGTTGTAGACTTTTCAGAGTGGTTTTGGATTAGTATTAGAACTTTCTGTCCTCTCTGTAAGGTAGGTAGGATAGAAGTTAGTTTTACACTCATCCCAATTTCTAAAACCTGAATCTTTTTCTTCTTTAGACAGACATTGTGTTTGTAGTGTTGTGGATGTTCTCTAAGGCTGTGTGGATGGAATGGAATGGGGCAGGGGGTGCAGGGAGGGGAGGTGGGTGGTCACCACTGGTTGGATCTTAGCTGGTTGGTGGTGTCCAGAGGTAGCCAGTGCACCTTATGATTTCAGATTGTCACATGTCGCTTGAATTACCTCTTTGAACAAACAACCCAATCCTCTCTCAAGATGATTTGCAATAGAGGACAGAGTGGTCCCTTAACATTTATTACAGTGACGTGTGCATTGAAATGACTTGTAGACCAAATTCCAAACATTTCCTCTTGGGCAAATTATGTCTGAAATTATTAGAAGTTTTTCTTAGAAAACACACCAACTTTTAAAGCCTTAGGGCTAGATAGATAAGGTGGTTTCTGAAACACAGTGGGCAAGTAGTCTGTAGAATGTCATTAGAATCATTATATCACTGTCACTGGTCCTGGGGTTGCCAGGCCTTTTCTGATTATCAGATGCAACAAATGACGTCCAATTTTATTGACCAGTTTGGCTTCAACGATGAGAAGTTTGCAGATCAAGATGACATTGGCAAGTGAGTATATTTTCCTGCTTTCATAATTGTTTCGTAATCTCCTGCTCTTTGTGAGACATTTTGGATTTTCCTGGATTCTTGGAACTTGTCTGCATCCATGAGTCAGGAGGAACTTAACCTTCCAGGTTAGTTCTAACGTCTTTGGGCTTGACCTGTTTCACAGAGGTTTATTTTTACTAAAAACTTAATTCATTCTTCTGCTATTTAGTGATTAGTGTCAGGTGGCAGAACTAAAGCAGGAAATCCCTGTGCTACTTCCCAGGTTTGAGCAGCACCTTCCCCCACAGCACACAGTGAGGGTGCATATTGTGGCAGGAGCGGCTCCACCCCTGTGTTCCCTTCTCTAAGGTGCTCACCCTAAGGCAGAAGCCAGGCAGCTAGACTACTCATTCTGCAGTCAGGGTAAGAGAACACAGCAAGGGGCACTGCTGGTGCTACAGAAAATAGCAGGTAGAAGCTTGGGTGATCCTCAGGAATGGAAACAGACGGTCTAGCATCTTCCCTGGGGGAATAACGCTTTTCAGAGACAGGAAGCATGGCTCACTGAAAACAAAAGTTTTGAATGTTGGATGGCTGCTCTCACAGGAGACTCCCTGACGACGCTCAGGAATACCAGATTTTAGGGTTCTCGCAATAGTTTGTTGAACTACAGCCAGTGGAGGTTGTTGTCTATTCCAACACACTGTCACTGCCATTTAATAGGCCACGTTGGCACCCTGTGCTTCAGACTCCACTGTTAGCCGCAGGAAAGGAGAGCTGTCAGTAGCTCTGAGAAATCCAAAGGGAGTGGAGTATTCATGTCTGAACCCCAGGGGCACACACACTGGAACCTGTAAGCTCCCCACACAGCATCTCAGCACTTGCTGTCTGCACTCATTCAATGCTACTTGTTAGGATTCCATAGTCTCTTTGAAATTTGTATTGGGGGACTTAAAATAAAATAATGGCTGATTAGATCTTTACCTATTCAAAAGTTATGTTACCAGGCTCTGAACTTTTTTACTCCTTACTGTATTCCTAATGATGCCATATTCAAGGCTAAGATTTCAGGGATAGCTAAGTATTTTATATATGACTTTGGCTTTACCTGGAGAAGCTCAGGCTCCACTGTCAGCCACAGGAGTTGAGCTTTTTATATTGTGAGTATCTTTTTTCCTGGTTATGGAGCCATAGTTGTCCATGGATGTTAAAAATCTTTTACACGATGTCTTTGAGGGTGTGCTTATTGTTTCTCAAAAGGCTTCTATTTCAGCCTTCCCATTTAAAAAAAAAATAAAAATCTCTCTTTTAAAAAAAAATATATTTTTGTTGACTTTTAGAGAGAAAGAAAGGGAGAGGGATAGAAAGGTAGAAATATTGATGAGAGAGGAAGTCATTGATTGGCTGCCTCCTGCACGGCCCCCACTGGGGATTGAGCCCGCGATCTGGGCATGTGCCCTGACCGGGAATTGAACTGGTAACCTCTTGGTTCCTGGATCACCACTCAACTGCTGAGCCATACCAGCTGGCCAGCCTTTCCATTTTATATAAATTCCTTAATTCCAAAGGAGAATGTATCATTTAATGCAAGAAGGGTATGTGTTCTTTTAATGTATACAGATTTTAATGATAGTGTAAATATTTAAAACTTGGGAAATTTCATGAATACTGTTTCTGTGAGTCCAGATAATTAACTATTTCTACACTTATATTTTGTTTACAGTGTTTCTTTTGATCGGGTATCAGACATCAACTTCACCCTCAATACAAATGAAAGTGTAAGTATTAATTTACAAGTGGGAACTGGGTGAGTCAGGCTTTATATGGGTGCTGTGTACACCAGGGGAACTCTGGGCCAGCAAGTTTCATCTCAGATCGGTGCTTTTTCACCCACTCACATGGCCTGCCTGGCCCTGTGGCTAAGATGCACAGGGCTAATAAAACCAGGGCCACTTGTGATTGCAGTGTAGACGTTTAGCTTCAAAGAATGCAGTTTGATGCTAGCCTGCTGCCTTTTTCTGCTGTATGTCAGCAGAACTTGGGCCAGATCAGCACCAGTCTCTTAGCCCCAAGCAGTTCTGAAACACCAAGTCTCCCACATCAGCAGCTGATCTAGTGAGTGGATTAGCTTCACTGGGTTGGACACAGTCTTTGTGGTTGTTAATCCTCACCTGAGGATATTTTCCTATTGACTTTTTAGAGAGAGTGGAGGGGGGTGGGAGACTGAGAGAGAGAAACATCAATGTGAGAGCGAGACATTGGAATTGAGCCTGCAACTGAGTTACGTGCCCTTCATTAGAAAAAAACATCGATGTGAGAGATACATTGATTGATTGCCTCCCACACACGATTGAGCCTGCAACTAAGTAATGTACCCTTCACCAGAATTGAATCTGAGGGCTGATGGTCTATCCACTAAGCCAAACCAACTAAGCAACATAATTTTGATTTTTCGGTTGATTAGTGTGAGAGACCACTGGTTTATTGGTTGATGTGATAAGGTAGACAGTGCTGACTCTAATAGGTGCTCATTACTGCTTAGCTGGACTGGAAAACCGGAGGAAACACAGGCTGCTTTTTGTGTTCCAACAGGCCTAAGACTGCACCGAGGTGGGCGGTGCTTTACTAGATGAATGTGCGTCCACTGGTTCTGAATCCAGTCTTATCGGGGGAACTTTCTGTCATTCCTTCCGCGGAGGCTGACACTGGATATTTGCATTGTATTTTGGTGTATGTGAGCCGCACTGCTTTTTAAAGGAACTAGAAGAATGCAGTTTACAGTGTTCATTTTGGGAGATTTGAGCTTTAAATTTTGTTCTTTTCCTCCTCGTTTTTATTTAGGGAAACATTGCCCTGTTTGAAGCATGTTGTAAGGAAAGAATCCAGCAGTTTGATGATGGCGGCTCTGATGAGGAAGACATCTGGGAGGAGAAGCACATTGCGTTTACACCAGAATCCCAAAGACGGTCCAGGTAAAGCAGAGTCTGTTCCATTAGCAGTAATATCCAGTGCATGAAGCAAAGATTGTTCATAGAAATCATTGTATCTTCTCCCAACGGGTCTATCTGACCTGGAAACCAAAGCTTTTGTCATGATCAGAAATACCCTGGCTAATTGCTGTGAGCTGGTGCTAGTACTTACGTCTGTAGGGTGATAGAATGGACGAATCCAGAAGACCTGCTTGAAAATGCTGGGTCATAAAGTTCCAGAAATGCGTGTATGTGCAGTTCGTGAAAAGTTGTGACATAGACTCTCCTGACTGGGAAGTGATGCCTAGGAATGTGGTCACAGAGTGCTTTGAATAGCTATTCCTCACCAGTAATAGCAGCAGCTGGGTTGTGGGTTGTTCCTTACACAGACCGAGTGTTGCCCCAAGGATGGAGAAGTTGTTTCTAAAAGCTAATCTAATATGGGGAGACAGACTCATGTCAATGGATATCCATCAGAGTCAGTTGAGAGTTTTTTTCTTCCCCAAATTTTTAAGTCACTGTATCATAGGAACCTAAATAGATTTGCTTCTGTACACGGAGAGTTCTTGTCATCTGAGTATTCATTGTCAGAATCTTTATAGTTATAACTTGGTTGCAGGCAAATACCCAGTAGGAATTGTGCAGGAGGTAGCCGATCAATGTTTCTCTCTCATCAATGTTTCTAACTCTCTATCCCTCTCCCTTCCTCTCTGTAAAAAAAATCAATGAAATTTATATTTTTAAAAAAAGAAATTCCCTTTTACCTCTAGTTTGCTGAGAATTCTTAGAAATTCTCATGATGGATTCAGCCACATTTATTGACTGAATTTCAAATGCTAAACTAACTCTGTGTTCCCGGAATAAACCCATGTTTGGCCCTCATATATTGTCACATTAATTTGCTAAAGTTTTAAAAAGGACTTTTTGGCTTTAGCCAGTGTGGCTCATTGGCTGGTGTGCCGCGCCAGCACAGCCTAGGGTTTGGCAAGCCTAATGGGGACTGGCGAAGGGTGAAGAAAAGACAGACAGAGTAAGCTGGGTCTAGGTGGATCTCCTACAGAAAAAGACCCAGACTGCAAGCTGACAGTTTATTTTATAGCCAGAGGTAAACAAGGTAGTGGTCACCATAGTTACAATGATCTTGTGAGTTTCACTTGTTTTGGCAGCACATTCTGCACTTCCCCCAGCCCATTAGCTAGCTACCCAGGAAGGATCTGGGGAGTCATAAGGTCAAGCTTAATTATGCTAAGAGGGCTGTGCCCTCTAAGCTGGGACTTCTTTGCGGCCTTGCCAGCAGGTCAGTCTGAGGCTTAACCCTATAACCGCTCCCTACAGGTTGGAGCATCATCCTGGACACCGGGAGGTGGTGGGTTCAATACCTAGGTTGTGGGTTTGCTCTCAGGCAGGGTGCTTACAAAAGACAAGTTGATGTTTCTTTCTCCTTGCAATGTGATCAGTTTTCTCCATGTATTTTGAAGCTGTTATTAGGTACACCAGCATTCAGCTGTTGTTCTCTTAACTGTAATGAGAAAGTAGACAGTAACCCAGTTTTTAAATGCACTGAAGACAAGCAAAAACGTCAGAAAAGAAGGTACGTGGGTGGCAAAGCAGCAGGAAGGAGGCGCTCAGCACCCCTGTTCTTAGGACAAGTCAGGTTGACACCACACAAGTCCCTCCGCACAGCTGCTCGGTCACGTGCCGCATCTTCAAGCAAGGATAAGGCAGCACAGCCGCAGAGCAGTCTTGATGAAGTGATGTCGGGCAGATGAGTTGTTAAATGCAATGTGGTTTTCTGTTGTCGAATGACCTGCAGAATTTTCTGGTAGCTGATATGCCACACTAACTTATTTTGGCCACTTTTTTCCTTAGCTCGGGGAGCACAGACAGTGAGGAAAGCACAGACTCTGAAGAAGAAGATGGGGCAAAACAAGACTTGTTTGATTCCAGTGGCGCCAACACAGAGGACAAGATGGAGGTGGACCTCAGTGAGCGTGAGTCAGCTTATTATTCCTGCGTGCATGTGTTGATCTGTGTTGAAATAGTCCTTGAGACACATGTCATTTGACCAGACCTGTGGGGAAGGAGTAGGTCACACCACCAATGGTGTCACTGCTTCTTCTCTTGGTGTGGAAACGCCTGCAGTGGGCCATGGCACCCTATGTCCCTGGGTGCTTGTGCCGAACGGGAGAGGCCACAGCTGTGGAAAGATGAGCCGGTGTTGTCATTTGTAGAATCATAAATGCACTGAGCCAGATGAAACGCCTTAAAGCTTAAACAGTTTTAAATGGGTCTTTTCAGAGTTTATTTGTGAATCTTTTAACCTCAAAACTCCCTTATTTATGTCCTGCTACTTGCTAAAAGGACTTGTGGGAGCTGGCTTTAAAATTAATTAACTTCTGAGAGTTTCAGGTGAGATTTCCATACATTAGGGTATTGTCCCTTCTTAGCTCTGCCACACTCACCCAGCCTTAGAGCAGGGCGCAGGGAACAGACCCTGATTCAGTGCCTATGCCATGCAGGCCCTCACTGAATCCTCAGCTGAACCTCAGGAAGTGGGTAGTCCCTATCGGAATTAAACAGGTGGGGTCACACAGGCTTGGGGGAGTTAGTAACTTGCCGGAAGTCACAGTAAGGTCTTTAGATCTGGAACATTTCTGTTGTACACGGGTACGTCCCAGTCTCAGGCCTCTAGGATAGTCTTCCCAACAGCTGGCAGGTTCCCTAGCCGAGCATGCCTCCCTACAACCTGGAGATCCCTCGTGTGCCAAGAAGTAGCCCTGAGAGAGAATGGGTTCCACACCAGCTGCCAGGATTGGGGAGTTAGCATAAGCACTGGGAAGGGAAAGCATATAGTGTACAGTGAGCACAAGTATCAGCCTCGTGTCATCTGAAGGGGCACATCTCTGAGGAGGTGACATTTAAACAGACCTACAGGTCAGATCCAAAGTTGGCAGGCAGGTGGCATGGTGAAAGGCACCGCAGATAGGAATCAGGTGCCCATGCAGATCCCACCACCCCCGCCCACCTCTGAAATCAGCCCGTGTCTGCAGGACTTAAAAGTAAATAAAGCTTCTCTCTGTGTTCTCACAGCTTCACTCTGACACCAGCTGGTGGACTTTTCCGCATGGACCACATTTCCAGCCCCAGCTGGACGTCCTCCAGTTCAGTTCAGATAGTGTCTATCTGGAGTGGGGGTGGATCTCACACATCAGATGTCAGTCACAGTGAGACGCGGGGCCTTTGTATTATACTTCCAGCCAACCAGCTGTAATAGGGAGTTACTGTGACCTCTTTGGGTTCCGTTAGAGCTCACAGAACTCAGAAGAGGATGTTACATACTGTTACCAATGTATCACAGAGAATATTTTTTTAAAATATATTTTATTGATTTTTTACAGAGGAGAAGGGAGAGAGAGAGAGCTAGAAACGTCGATGAGAAAGAAACATCGACCAGCTGCTTCTTGCACACCCCCTACCAGGGATGTGCCTGCAACCAACGTACATGCCCCTGACCAGAATCAAACCTGGGACCTTTCAGTCTGCAGACTGGTTTTGGCTCACAGAGAATATTTTAATGTATACAATGAGCAGCCAGGTGAAGAGATGAGTAGCAATCTGGAAGGGTCCTGAACACAGGAGCTTCTGTCCCTGTGGGGTTTGTCATGGGCCACTCCAGCAGCTGACCCCTACAGCATGGGTTTTTATAGGGTCTCCATGAAGTAACTGATTAAATCATGGCCATTAATGAGTAGCTCAACTTCCAGCCCCTCCTCCCTCCTACAAAGTTGGTTTTCTTGGCATCCAGCCACCAGTCAGCTCATTAGCATATGGAAGAAACCATTTTTGAGATTAGAATGAAGAGGAGGGACCAAATACTGTTGCTTATTGGGTTCCAGGAATCCTTCCTGGCGTCTGCTCAGTCCAGGAGACTAACTCCGGAGGAGACTGCAGGGGCCCTTACTCCCTTAACAGGGAGGCATGGGACCGGATGCAGATCAGGAAGCATTAAGATTGTTTCTAATTTACTGCAGTTGAATGAATAGCCAACGTATTCTTTATTTGTAATAAACTTTTATTTTGGAATTATTTTAGATTTACAGAAAAGTTACAAAGATTTTCAGGGAGTAGCTTCCTTTCCCCATCTTCCTAACAATGTCACTGTTACCTTGGTACATTTTTGAAAGATAAGACGTTAAAGTAGCATATTCTTTCATGTGTAGCTTTGCATCTTTGTGTGATATTTCTACTGGGGGGAAAATCTCAGTGGGAATGGCTAAGGCTCAGAAGCACTGCAGTTTGTAGGAAGATGGATGCTGTGCCACTGCCCTCCAGGTGGTGGTGCCCTGCCCTCCTACCCAGTGACTGGGAACAGGGGATGCCTTCCCCCAGAACTCCTATCTTTTTTTAATCATTGCCAATCTGTTTCTGTAAAATATCTTGTGTTATATGAAACTACTGAAGTGTTCTCAAAATGAAATTCTTCCCCTCTTTAGCACCCAACTGGTCAGCCAACTTTGATGTCCCCATGGAGACAACCCACGGTGCTCCCTTAGACTCTGTGGGCTCTGACGTCTGGAGCACGGAGGAGCCGATGCCATCTAAAGAGACAGGCTGGGCCTCTTTCTCAGAGTTTACATCTTCCCTGAGGTGAGCATGGGTGCCAGCTCTCCACACCTTCCCATATGAGAACTGGGATGGTGTGCTTTGCTGTGAGCACCACACACCATTCCGATTGGATATGGTGCCTAAAAAGACTAAAAATCAACACAGGGGTACTGCCACAGCTCTGAGTTGCCAGAACAACAGTCGCCACCCCCCTTCGTTCACCAGAGCAAAACGGGGGGAAGAAGGAGGGAGTAGATCCTGCACCAGCAGCCTAGGAAGACCTGGCCCCAGGGAGCGAGTGGGCAGGGTGCTGATGAAAAGGCGTCTCCCAGGCTTGCTCCGTCCCCACCGAGCTGTCAGGACAGGACTGAGGAGAGAGGAGTGAGGGAAGCCAAGGAACTGAGAGGCCCCTCTGGAACATGATGGAACAATGCAAAATGTGTCTTGAATTTAGTAATAACATGGACTTGTATCTCACTTGTAGCTCAGCTAGTGCTGTAAAGTAAGGGGTGTAACAGGTATGCTGTCAGTCTTACTTGTATTCTCTTTTTAAAATACATATACATATGTTTTTTAATTGATTTTTAGAGAGAGGAAGGGGAGAGGGAGAGAAACATTGATTGTCTGCCTCCTCCACATCCCCTACTGGTAATCAAGCTTGAAACCCAGGCATCTGCCCTGACTGGGGATTGAACCAGTAACCTCTTGGTGCGTGGATCAATGCTCCACCACAGAGCCAGTAACCAGCCAAGGTTATTTGTATTCTCGATGACAGCAACCTGTCATTTCGTAATTTTCCTGAACAGTATTGTCAGCATTTGAGTATTTACCATGGAATTTGTGTCTTGTTAGGCTCAGTTTGATTTTGTCTACTGAAAAGGTGAATGAGCAGCTATCATCTTAGTCAAATGAAAGAGTAGGCTAAAACCCATGTTGTTTTGTCCAATTCTAAGTAATTTGTGGTAAGTAAGCTACTGTTTAGCAATAAAGTAAAATTGGTGGACAGTATCTCCAGAATATGAATTACTTTACCAGCCTCACTCCAGAACAGTCCGGTTTCCCCTCCTGCTTTTCTCTGTCTCCCTCACTGGGTGATAGGTATTGTTGAAGCGCCTCACTTCGCTCCCCTTGTGCACAGCTCGCGTTTTCTCAGTCAGGGCCCCAGGAGGTGGGCCCTCCGGGCAGCTCGCCTCCACATGAGTCGGGTTTGGAGCGCAGACACGGAGATGCTGTTGCTGCTGCGCCGTGTGCCCCATGGCTGCCCGGCCTGGGAGCTGGTGATGGTGGTGAGGGAAGCCGGGACCTGGGGCCTGGGAGAGGAGTTCCTGCGTTCTTGCCTTGCTGCATTTGCAGATCCTTGCTGCCTGTGCGTAGATCCTTGCATCCCTGGAGTCTGTAACCAACTGCTGATGCCTTCCCAGCAGAACGAACCTGATTGTCAAAGGATTTTTTCTAAATAATGGTAACAGAGGCTATTACCCACTGCTAACATGTGCATTTTCTCTTTCCTAAAAGTACAAAAGAGTCTCTAAGGAGTAATTCTCCAGTGGACATGGAAACCGGCGCTGAACCAATGGACCCTCTGACTCCCAGTGTCGCTGCGCTGGCCGTGCAGCCAGAAGGTGGGTGCAGAGCGCCTGGGTGCACGTCCCACGGGCTGTCATTTCGTGGCTGTTCACGCTTTAACGTACGCTTAGTGTTCTAGATTTGAAAAGGTGTGTAACAGGTACGCTGTCAGTCTTTCTTGTATTCTCTCTTTAAAATATATATACGTATGTGTACCTATATAAAATACATATACATATCCCATAGCAGGCTCGTAATAAAACCAGACTTTATACACATAAAACATATATTAATATCTCCCATGGCAGGTTTATAATAAAACCAGACTTGACTCTCTGTTCTTGGGCCCAAAAGCTCAAATTAGCCATGAAAATGGGATGGTGAGTCTCATGTTCATCGGGGAACTGGAGAAAGGAAATGGGGTGTTCACTGTAGAACCACAGCATTGTGAGCTGTCAGTCACTCAGCCCGTCAGTGTGTGGAAAGGAAACAGGTGCCAGCTTTTAGTACCCGGGAAATAGCCAGAGTTAACTGTTATCCAAGCTCAGCCTGTACCCTGCTCTTTTGTCCCTTGGGTACTTTGCTGGAGCATATGTGTGTATCTGGAGTGGTTCAGGCTGTGGGCCTATTTTCTTTTCACCTTATGAACAGACAAAATGGTCAAGGGGATCCAGTGAGTTTTCTTGTTACTCACAATACACACATTGTTTCTTGCATCGGCCCTGAGCGGTTTTAAACCTGAAGAAAGGGACTTGGGAGGGGGAGAGGCGGTTGGTGAAAGGGCGTGAGGGAGGATTGGTGGTATGTGGAGGGAACAAAGAAGTAAGTCCTATGAGGCAAGAGCTGGATGGAGGAAAATGGGGGACATTTGTAATGCTCTCAACAATAAAGATTAAATAGGTGAAGTAAGTGCTAGAAAAAGAGTAAGTTCTTAGAGAAAGGAGGATTCAGTAGAGGGCACAGGAGCCAGGGGCAGGGAAAAGTAATAAAACCAGTACTGATAATGCATTTATTTGTCATTTTGTATCAATGACCTCACTTTACCTCTCAACCATTCTATGGGTGAGATCAGTTATCCTGTTTTGTGGTTCAGAAAATTCAGGTGCCTTGCCCAAGGGTTATGCAGCTGTTAAGTGGCTTTTGAGTTCAGGAAATCTGACTTCAGAGCCCAGGCTTACAAGCACTAGACCAGATGGCTCTCTGTGATATAAGAAATAAATCATCCACAAGGTACCACAAGTAAGTAACTTGGAAAGAAAGAACGGGACCCAAGTGGGTAACTGAAAGAAAGAGGTGAGAGGACAGGGCAGTGGTACACTGTGCATTGTGGATGGAAGCGGGGGGACTAGATTCATTGCCTCCTGCCCTGTACTGTGGGCTGGAACCTGAGGAACAGCGGGGTCTGCTTGGGAAAGCTGGGTGTGTGAGCCGTAAGACGGGGTGCTCGCTGGTCCTGGGCTGCACAGAGCCCCGTGCACATCGTCATTGGGCATCATGAAGCCCGTGCTTCGTGACTTGTCCAAGGCAACAACTGGCAAACCATCTCTCTCTCGAAGCAGGAGAATGTCACCTTGGTGGGTGGGTCCACACAGAAGAGATGACAGTTCTCGTTTGTTTTGATGGGGATGACCATGAGCTGCGTGTGTTTTTCAGTGACGGGTAGTGTGGCCATGGAAGCCAGCTCTGATGGAGAGGAGGATGCAGAAAGTACAGACAAGGTAACTGAGACAGTGATGAATGGCGGCATGAAGGAAACTCTCAGCCTCACTGTAGATGCCAAGACAGAAACTGCAGTCTTCAAAAGGTAACCAGGGGCAAGATCGTACTGGCAGCTTCAGGTTGGGAGGATGATGAAGGAGAAACTTCACATATTAATGTCTTTAATTTGGTTCAAACGTGGGTTCATACATCAGCCTGACATCTTTCTAATGTCCCTGTTAAACTCCATAAATCTTAATGAAGAGATGAAAAGTTTGAGTGCCCAAGTGCCCACCTCACAAGAGAGGATGCTCCCAACTCTTTGTGAGGCCACTACAAAGCAGCACGAAGAGGAAAATGAATTGTAGGCCAGTGTGGGGGCATAAATGCGCAGCACTTAGAAGCTAGCACACCAAATCCAGCAATGTTTTAAGTCATGACCAAGGGTGTATCTCAGGAATGGGACCTTGTAAAAATTTCAGTTGTGATTTAAAAAGCACTTGATAAACATACTCTGAAACATCTGTGCAATAATAAAGGTTGCCAAATGGCTTAGAGAACCATAATAAGGAAGATGAAATAAAGATACTTTCCTTGGCAGGTCATGCTGCAAAAGTCACAGCAATTAAAATTGTGATGTTTGCCAGAACCGGTTTGGCTCAGTGGATAGAGGGTCTGCCTGCGGACTGAGGGGTCCCGGGTTCGATTCCGGTCAAGGGCACGTACCTTGGTTGCAGGCACATCCCCAGTAGGGGGTGTGCAAGAGGCAGCTGATCGATGTTTCTCTCTCATTAATGTTTCTGACCCTCTATCCCTCTCTCTTCCTCTCTGTAAAAAAATCAATAAAATATATTTTAAAAATAAATAAATAAACTTGTGACGTTAGCACACAAATAGGTGAGAGACCAATGTGATGGGGGGGAGAGCCTAGTAACCACAGGGATGGCTTAATGGGAGGCTGGGGTGGGGAGACCATGAAATCAGAGCCCCTGCCCTCCATTCAAAGGTGGTTCCTGGTGGGCTGGAGGCCAGTGTGCGAGGGATGCACCCACGTGCGCGTGATGCTTTAACCATTCGTTGATTTCCCTCAAGAACCTGAGAAGTCCAATGAGAGTGGGTGTCCTCCCACTCTTCGGGGAGAAAGTGAGATGGAGTTAGGTGATGTGGCCAAAGTCTCATGGTGGTTAGGAGAAAAGGCAGTGTATCTTCCTGGGCTGCAGCAGACGAAGACTTTTTGTAAAAAAAACCTAAAACGCTCAGAAGTATTAATCAATGCAAAGGATAGGTTTGGACCGCATCAAAATGAAGAATTTCTGGCTCATCCTAGCTGATTTGGCTTAGTGGATGGAGCGTCAGCCTGCTGACTAAAGGGTCCCGGGTTCAACTCCAGTCAAGGGCAGATGCTCGGGTTGTGTGCTTAGTCCCCAATAGGGAGTGTGCAGGAGACAGCCAAGCAGTGATTCTCATCATTGATGTTTCTTTCTCTCTCTATCCCTTCCTCTCTGAAATCAATAAAAGTATATTAAAAAAAAAAAAAAATATATATATATATATATATATATATATATATATATATATATATATATATCTGGCTGATAAAGTACTGTAAACTAAGTCAAGAGGCAGATGGCAAATTGAGGGGGTAAGACTAAATCAACCAGAAACTAGCATTTTCTATTTAAATTCCTATAAAGCAGCAATTCCTATAAAGATGTGACTCACAGTACACATCTGCATTGACTGCGCTTACAGAAAACTCAAATCAGAAAAGGGACAAAAGATAGCACTAGGCAGTTTATAAACAAGGGAATCCAAAAGGGCTAAAAAAAATTTTAAGGAAAGATGTTCAAAAATCAGCAGCCGTCTGACACCTCTCGGAGCCTCGCAGGAATGTGTGGACAGTGCTGAGTGCTGGGGGCTCTAGGTTATGGCAGTCCCGCCGTCCTGCTTGGATGGCAGACTGGACTTCCTTGTAGATGGAAGGGTGACCGCCTTTCCACTGCTGAGAAATGCCGGCCGTCCCCTGTGGCCCTGTGCAGTGGAGTGGAGGGCAGTTCAGCACTGGTTGCTGCGAGAAGCAGGTAGAACCAACTAGAGGTGCACGCCTCGGGGGCGCTGTCAGCAGGGACAGACGGACCATCCGAAGTGTGCTGGTCACAGAGATGATGCACCAGGAGTACAGCTCAGTGCCGGTTTTATGACTCACAGTACACATCTGCATTGACTGCGCTTACAGGAATGAAATGCAGGGAGGGGCCAAAGTAGGTGGTAGTTACGAATACTTGAAAGAGTATATCTAGCATTATTATTTATTAATCACTCCATTATTTCCAAAGGAACAACTATGTGACAACTCGGGGTAGCTGCTTTGGTGGTCAGGGAGTGGGGGTGGGGATGAAGGGAGTAATGAATCGGGCAACTCAGATTGTCAACAAATCTGTAGCCTTTAGTTCATTTTCTTCCTCATCAATTGACCTACCCATCTGAAAGCCACCCCAGACATCATCCTAAAGTTAAGCTTTTCAAAGGGAACCTCCAACTGCCCTTTAGTTTAGTAGCATCTTGATTATGTCAAAATGGAAATCCAGACAGAATAGGCAAACATCTGAAATTTTAGCCCACAAACAGATGAAAGCATTTGCTACTGGTCTGTCTTCACCAAGAGCCATCGGGGGAAAAATAACCCTTTCGTGTTCCACTTCCCCAAGCCCTCTGACCCCTCCAGCCCATTTCTGCCTCTTCCGATCGCAGTTCTTGGCTCTCTTCCTGAGGGTGTTTGTACTTCTCACTCGTGGTTGGAGGACAACTCGAGAAGGTCAGACGCCCTAAAACCTGCTCCCATGACCTCAGCCAGCAAGCCGATGGGGGTCTGCCCTACTGCCGGTTTGAATGGTGGGCTCAACCCAAAAGCAAAATACTTAACTAAAGACTCATTCCTTCAAACAGGTTCATTTGACACCTTCACCGAGTCTGCAGATTTGCTTATGTGCAGTCGTGGATATATTAGCCCCACCCCTCATTATAGGAGTGTTCTGAAACTCTTGTACATTTCTTTTCTATTTTGCACACTTGGCGTCAGAGTGTTGAAATCCTACCGGTATGTAAGCCACAGGGGCCGTTCTTTATCAACGCCAGCTGCATCACATCGTCCCTTTCAGATCCCTCCTGCGTGACCCTCCTGTGCTTTCCCAGTCACTGTCCGTGCCCGTGTCCCTCACCTGAGCATGCTCAGCCCAGGGCTTGTGACTCCATGGCAGTCATGATCCCAGAGCCATTGCATGATCCCTCATCCTCCATCGGCGCTGGCTCTGCGGGCTCTAACGCTGCCTCTCATCCTCTTTACCGCAGCGAGGAAGGAAAACTGTCTACCTCTCAAGATGCTGCTTGCAAACACGTGGAGGAGAGCCCTGAGCCGGCTGAGGCGAAGTCTGCAGCCCCCCGGCCCCCCAGCAGTAGTCCTGAGCAGAGGTAACCACCCGCTTTCCCAGGTCTGCCGGGCCCTGCTCTGGCTTGGGCTGTTGGCTCCTGGGCCCTGGGAGGAAGTTGGCACAGGAGGGCAGGGGGAATCATCACAATTGTCCTTTACAGCCAGTGGTTTAACTCAGCAGTTTTCTCAGTCCTTATGGAATCAGGGTGATTGAGCTCAGAACTTAGAAATAGTATCTCCTTACCCCAGAAGTTGAAAGCTGACCGTTTTTCGGAGATTCTTTAAGAAATTACTGTAAATGGCCCTAACCGGTTTGGCTCAGTGGATAGTGTCACCCTGTGGTCTGAGGGGTCCCGGGTTCCATTCCAGTCAAGGGTATGCACCTTGGTTGCAGGCACATCCCCAGTGGCAGCTGATGGATGTTTCTAACTCTCTCTCTCTCTTCCTCTCTGTAAAAAAATCAATAAAATTGTTAAAGAAAGAAAAAAGAAATTACCGTAAATGGAAGGGTCTCTCATGCTGGCATCCACTCCTCGTGGTTTTTTTGTTGTTGTTTTTTTGTTTTGTTTTTTAATGAGATGCTGAGTTGAGACTGATTGAGCATCAAGGATTGGTTCCCTTAGCCATGGCAGCCAAGTTCTTGGCCCTGTGGAGTCATGCAGCTGCCAGGCACAAGAGGCTCCTGGTGCCTGTTTTCCTGTGGGCGTGCCCATGTGACACTCAGAGAACTTTCCTGGAGACCCTTTCATATGTGGAGCTAAATACTCTCCACTCTGATTAGTCCATGTGTAGTTTGGTTTTTCCAAGTGTGAAAGTCCCATTACCAGATTTTCTTCCTGCTCACGTTTTGCTTAGGCCAGGCCAGAGTCCCGCCCCCACCACAGGGCCTCACGGCTGATGGGGGTGGGGGGCAGCCTCGACACCCCAGAGCTCCCGCAGGGAGGCAGGCAGACGTTCCAATTCTGTCAGCACCGTCCAGATAGTGCCACCTCCTCCCTCCCCACGGTAACTCGCATCGCTGTGTGGGAACACTGTCACAGTGCACACCTTTTCCTGTTGACTTGAGAGGAAGAAGCGGGGATTTGTTGTTCCACTTCCTCAGGCATCCTTGGTTGCCTCATGTATGTGCCCCGGCCAGCGCACATTTGTTTGCAACAGTTGGTCCAGTTGACACGCTTTTCCTTTTTTCCTCAGTAGCAGAATCCTGTTTTTCAAGTGAAATTTTATGTGGATTTCAGAACGTGGAAGAGAGAAAAGGCTGTAGTGAAGGAGGGTGAGCAAATGGCCCCGAAGGCTCTGGGAGCAGCAGTTCAGACCACGGACCGGGCCTGTGCCTCCGCTCCTGAGCGCTGAGCGGGGCGCTCTGGGAGCCTGCGTGCTGCCCTGGCCAGTGCTGGCTAACCGAGCTCAGGTGAAGCTTAGATGCTCTTCAGTTAGAGCTTCTGGAGCTTTAGATAGTTTGTTTATGAAGCATTTCATACACAGTAACTGAGTGCCAGCCTTAGTGCTAGGCACAAACGATATTAAAACCCGCCTCCACCCTGGAGAGCTAAGTGAAGCTAACTTTCCGTCTCACCTTCTGCCTAACGCCTCGGACATCTGTCTTACTGCGCAGGACTGACCAGCCAAGCGTGCCAGGCGCCACATCCGTGAACGGCCCTGTATGATGAGTGACCTCTGTGCTGCGACTGAGGACTGCAGGCGCCACCATTCAGGGCTCCGGGCTTCGGTGGGCCGCCACGCGCCCCTGCTGCCTCACTGCAGGGATCAGGACCAGCAACCTTTCTACTCGAGATGCTAAGACATTGTACAGAGAAATTCGACGTGTACAAATATTGCACATGACAAATACCAAGAATTTTTGCGTATGTTTATATTGTATTCTAAATAATGGGTAGCCTGTGAAATAAGATCTTGCCACCCATGTAATAATAGTAGTAATACTAGAGTTAAAATGGCTGTAAGAATAGTTTTATAAAAGTGAACACAGAGCTATTGTATTTGAGACATAACTATTTGACAATTATTAGTGTGACCAAAGTATTAGGCATTTTCATACATTTTTCACCTTGTACAAAATTCTGAATTCATTTTCTTCCAGGCCGGCAAGGGTGAGGAGTGGGATTGGGACGCCCGCTGAGTGTTATTTTGGTTGTTCTTAACTCACAAAAGTGATTTTGAATAAGAAATACCTGGTGTTCTTTTTATAACCAGTTTTTGATTGGTAACTGTTTTTTCTGTATTGTTTAAAATGGATCAAAAATGTAAGTCTATTGGTAGAGATGAGTATTTATTGCTACAACTTAGTTGATGAATTGATGTTATTGTAAAGCCATATGTTCTGTTAAAGTCTTTGTTTGCTTGAAATGATTATTCCTGCAGGTGAAACACTAGAACTTTTGGAGTGTACATGGCTTGTGGTTTGGTTTTCTTTGTTTTTTTGTTTTTGTTTTTTGTTTTGTTTTGGTAGTTCATCTGCCTTTTTAACCCATTCACCAAAATTTCCCCTGTTAACAGGCATCACCAATGAACATTTCCGAGCAGTCTGCGAATTTGACATACCAAGATCATATTAGGCAAGTCCGTTGAAAAATGCTCGCGCTGCTAATGGAATTAGAGTGCGTTCATTTTCCTGGCTAGTGCTTAAACCTAGAAACCAGACTGTGGCACCTCAGCATGTTAATTGTTTCCTGTGCCCCGTGAGGTTTTCACTCTTAAATTCTCAACCAGTCTATTTTTTTTAGAGCTGGTCTATGTATATATATATAGTGATTATGGATACTAATTCAATGTAATTTATAATTTTCTATGTCAATATAAAAATACATCACAGCCTTCAAACAGCTGAAGCAATATGTTGTATATTGCGTACCGTCTGGTGAAAGGGTTAAATGACTTCACCTCTTGCGATTTTAGATGCAAATCAGTTTTTCATTTCTGTAATAGAAAATTATTCACCTATTTTTACATTGTTTGTTTTTCCTGACCAGTATTTAAAACCAAAAGGATATTCTGAGAAATGGCCAACAATTTTTTTAGAAATAGCCTCCCAAGCAACGTGCCTAAACATTACATTGCATATGGAAATAAAAGAATCAAACATCTAATGCCTTCTTTTTTGTGTACTTTCCGTTGTAGAGGTTCCTTGCGAGCTTTACTGAGCAGACAACCTCGCACAAGGGCAGTGGGCTCACTGGTGCGTCTGGGGCAGGCTGCGGGTGCCCTCAGGAACCGCTGATGTGACTCCTCTTCCAAGGACTGTCTTGTGCGTGCGTTCCCCTCTAGATCGGGGCTCCTTTAGTTTGTCTCCAGGTTGATGACAATGTGACTGACATGGGACTTCAGGGACTCCCGATGGATGGACGTGTAGAGAGCTTTGCCGGCAGCACCAGGGCTTGGCTCCGAGGTGCGCACACTGTTCCATATAGGTTGGATTTGGTTGGCATCTTCGTCCCACCCAAGATAACAGTGTCTTATTTCCCCCTCCTGATGCCGATGAAAGAGCATCGGGGTTTCCCTTGGGGCTGTGTTTGGTGGTGTGTGTCTTATGTGCAAGGAAGGGCAAGAAGATGGCAAGAACAGAGCTGATTGGCCAAGCATGTCAAACTCAAAGGTTTAACTTTATGTGGGCCACTAAAAACAAGCTTCCATTTTCATAGAAATGTAGGTTATTTCTATAAAAAATGCTGAATACAAAGGACTGAAATAAATGAGTAATCATTAACATAAAATAATAAAGCCTTTTAATAATTTTTGGTCGGGGCACATGCCCGGGTTGTGGGCTCATCCCCAGTGGGGGCCATGCAGGAGGCAGCTGATCAATGATTCTCCCTCTCCTTTTCTCCCTAAAATAAAAAATAATATTTTTACAAAAAAAAAAAGAATTTGGGATCGTGACTAAACCCGAAAGCCTCCTGCTAGGAGCAGCATCCCCTCCTGCCCTCGGGAGGCTGGGAGGAAAGAGCAGAAATGGAGCCGCAGGGCAGGAAGTAAGAGTCAGGACAGAGCACGTGCTGACTCCTCTGCCACACGTGGCAGCAGCCGCCTGAGGCCCAGCTGCTCTCTTGTCCTTGAGGTTCCAGAAATTCACCTTGAATGGATTTTCCTTTTTAGCTTAAGTTACCTTAAGTCACTTTGAGTCGATTTGTTAAAATAACCCAAGAATCGGAGTAACTTGGAGTTGGAATCATTAACCTCCTTCAATAATGAGGAAACAGAGGCTCAGAGAAGTTTAACTGGCTGGAGGGCACCCGGCAGAAAGCACTGAGCCGGGATTTGAAGCAGGTCAGTGGGCCCAGAGACTCGCCTTCAGCGTGGGGAAGGCTAGCTTTGAACACACTGGCCACCGGCCACCCCTTCCCCATCCCCCTCCTCAGGCCTCTAGCCCCACACCCTCAGGGTCTGCCTTCCACAGGATACCCTGGGAGCCCGGCCCGCTCCCTACCGGCCTGAGTCATCGCTCTAGCCCGGCAGCCGGTGCAGGGGCTGCTGAGAAAGGCAGGCTCTGGGGACCTGCTCCATCTGGGAACGGCGTGCCCATGCGGACCAGTTCCCAGAACCGCCGTCAGACCTTTCACAGCGCCAGCCTCCCAGTGTGGAGGTCCCTCCGAATATCCCCCCACCGTCCAGTTCCTAGACTGTTCTAGCCAGGACTGCTCTGGGAGGCTGCTGGGTGACGGCAGGGAAGCTGAGGCCAGGCCCTGGACAGGGTCTCTGGACTTGGGGCCCAGCCCATGCCCCCTTTTCACCACAATGTGCTGATCAGATGTCTGGTCAGCCGAAGGAAAAGCCCAGCCAGCCTCAGTGTGAGCGTGCTGGTGTGGTGCAGGGGTGTCTGTGAGCGTGTGCTGGTGTATGTGTGTGCGTGTGCATGTGTGTGCGCGCGTGCGCGCAAGCATGTTCGGTGCGTCTCTGGGTGGGACCTGAGCCGGGACCTGCCCAGCAAGGGGTGGGCAGAGTGCCCTGCGCTTCACCTGTGCAGGGGCTTAGGCTGAACACTCTGTTCCCCTGCCCCGGGCCCGCCACCCTGCCCGAAGCCTGTCCTCTCGCTCACGACTCACCCCACCTTCCTCTGCTGCCAGGCGGGCGCACCCTCTGGAGAACATATGGACTCAGTTTGCCAAATCGAATTTGACTTATTGGGTTATTTTTGCCCTTTTAAGAAAGCATCGCCATGCCTGGCAGGTCTAATTGAATAATGTATAGCAAATGAACTTTTCTGTTAAAATAAGCCAATCCCCGAAAACGTCACAAAGGGGGGGTGCTTCTGCCTGCCTCCTGACTGTGGGGTGAGAATCGCCCCACACCCTGCCCCGCAGGCCTCAGCGGTCATTTAGAGCCAGAAGGAACCATTTCGGCTGCAGGCAGTGCCCTGCATGGCCCTGGGCTGCCTCTGGGCAGGAGGTCCCTGGCTCCACCATGGCTGGATGCCCCGGGCGTTTCCCCTCCCCTGGTGACGGGGGGGGGGGGGGTGAAGGATGGGGGGGAGAGCCCCAGCTGCCAGCTCCCACCTTGTGCCCACCTGAGCCCCAACAGCAGGGCGGGCGCGGGCACAGGCAGATTAGGAAGGACAGGGCGACCCCCCATCGAGGTCACAGCCAGGCTCTGGGACAGACAGGGACACAGTGCAGTCTGGCCTCCTGGGGGCCCCAGCAGCAGCTGGGACCTCTGGGCGGGGCTCCCTCAGGCACTGGTCCTCTGGGCTCCGTGTCCTCTGCTTCTCCTTGTGTGGTCCCCGCCGCCCGCACGGCCGTACCCAGATGAGCAGGCTCCCCCTCCCCAGGTGTTGAGGAGAAGACGAGCTGCTTTATGTCTGACGCTGACACAGGATGGAAGGGTGCTCCATGGGCACCTGTCGCTCCTGTCACCTGCACGGCAGGCACCGTGTCCCCATGCGGGACCGCCCAAGGCATTGTGACCGTCGTCTGCCGTGTCACTGGCCAGATCACACCAGACATCTTATCTCGAAGCAAGTGAATTTTTAATTTCTTTGTAAATCTTTTCCTGAGGACATTTTTCCTTTGATTTTTAACGTTTTTTTAAAAATACATTTTTATTGATTTCAGAGAGGAAGGAGAGGGAAACGTTAAGAGAATCGTTGGTCGGCTGCCTCATGCATGCCCCCCACTGAGGATGCAGCTCGCAACCTGTGTGTGCAGGCGAGGAGTCGGGTGACGAGGACAGAGCCGCCCTGAGCTGGGGTCCACGTGGGGCTTCAAACACAGTCTGCATTTCCTTCTAAAAGGCGGCTTTCCTGGCTCCTCTCTCCCTCAGAACCTCACAGACGGACACCCGGCCCTGAGCCTGGCCTCAGGCCACCCTCAGCCCCTGGCAGGGCTCCTCCCACCTGGCCTTCCCATGGCCCAGCCTGTGCCCCCTCTGTTCCTTCCCTGCCACGCCCTTCCAGCCACTGGCCGTGGCCTGATGCCAGGCCCACCACGTCCCCAGGGTCTTTCTCTGGCGCTTAACCAGCAGGCGATTGCGTCTCACAGTCCTGGAGGCCGGAGGTCCGAGGTCAGGGTGCTGGGGGGAAGAGGGGTTCATTCTGAGCCTCCTCTCGGCGGCGGGCGACACCTGTGTGCCCCGTGACCTGTCTGCGCCCAGGAAGGAGCTGGAGCTTGCTCGCTGGTGTCTTCTCCTAGGAGGGCACCAACATGGTGGGCACTCG